TACCCCTGCCTAAACCCCCGTTTTACCTCTGCAGGCATAGATACCTGTTTTTCCCATTTTATAACTACCTTGTTACATTTATGGATATCTTTTAAAAGATTAATGACTCCATCTTCCACGTAAAGCGCATCCAGTATTCCCCACAATCCCTCTTGAACCGCGCTATCGTACGCCCCCTTGATATCCAAAAATGCTAGTCACAGGGGCCTGTGTTATTTTTCTGCTATTTCGATACACTGCGTCAGTGAGAACAGACTGTCTTCCAGCCTCCTGTGTTTCCGAAACCCATTCTGCAGTTCCCCCAGCACCCCCTCATCCTCTATCCTTGCCTGCAGTCTTTACTGTATAATCTGCATTGCGAGCCTGTAGACCACTCATGTCACTATTATAGGACGGTAGTTGTTTATGTCAGCTTTGTCCCCCTTTCCTTTATAGATCATGCTCATCCTGCTAAGTTACCATCCATTGGGGACTTCACCATCGATTATTATTTTGCTCACTGCCTCTCTCAAAGCCTGCTTAGACTTCGGACCTAATGTCTTTATCAACGTAATTGGAATGCCATCTGGGCCTGTTGATCTACTACTAGGAACCCTCTTCTCAGCCCTTTCCCACTCTCGTTGTGAAAATGGAGCCATTGTGCCACTTGATTCATCCTTGTCTAATGTGGTGCATAAAGCACTTCTGTGTTGAAATTTTTCTGTCATCCTTGTTCTTATATATTCAATAGCTTCGTCCCCTTCTAGCCTAGCACCTTGAGCTGTAGTTATAAACCTCTGCTCTAGGCTCGTCTCATTTCTGATGGAGTTTAGATGGTTCCAAAATTTCGCAGTTGCCTTTCTATCTTTTTTATGTACTTCTGCCAGCCACTGAGCTCCCTTTCTTCTAATCTTTTCATTGATCAGAAGAGATGCATCCCTTCTAGAACTTGGAAAAGTTTCCCATTTTCTTTCAACATCACCTGTCGGTTCACCCCGCTGCTTAGCATGTCTGTGTTCCCTAGAGGCTTCCTGACGTTTTGCTATGGCTCTCCTAACTTCCTTATCCCACCAACTTTCGGGTTTGTGTCTTCTTTTCCGGGGTGACTTGTCACGTGCCTCAAGAAGGTTTAGCTCAAAAGTCTAATTAGATTTGTGTATGTCCACACTGTTTTATTATCCTCAGTGTTATTTTCTCAATCTATTTAGTAGCTATTTCTATTTGCCTTTCTGAATAAAAATTTTCCTGTAGTTGCTCATCTTGTCTCCTTCCCACTTTCACTGCTCTTCAAAAATTTAGCTTCATACGTTTGCGATCACTACCCAGAATTCTGGAGCCACATTCATCTATGTGCATTCCCCTGAGCCTATCATACATCTTATGTGACATCAGTGCATAAACTATCGTCGACTGCAGCCTTCCTACCTCCCATGTTATTTGCCCTTCACACTTCTCAGTATTGTTGCAAATGATCAAATCATGCCTTTCACGCATATCCATGATCATTTTGCCTGTTGGGTTGGTATGCCCGTCTATATCTTCTATGTGCGCATTCAAATCTCCTAGTATAATTATCTCGCACTCTCCTCCTAATTCCTCAATGTCCTTTCCTATACACTCCACCATTGCCTAGTTTTCCTCTCTGGCTTTTGCTCCCTTCTACAAGTACACCAAACCAAGGACTGTCGTTTGCCTTGCCACTTTCCCTCTTAACCATAAATGTTCCATGTATCCGTGTTTGACTCTTTGCCAACCCATACTTTTGTGTATAAATGCACCAATTCCACCCCCTTTTTTGCTGCCTTGTGTTCTATTACAATATTCCCATACGTAGTCCAGATTGAAAGGTGGTTGCTCCATGTCCTGAAGATGTGTCTCCACAACCCCATACACCTTCAGCTCCTCCTGCCTCAACTGCTCTTCTATCTCTTCCCACTTTAACCTATTCCTGCCACCCTGCATGTTAATAAAGCCTATGTCTGACTTAGCTCGGCCCTTCTGCTTACGTCGATTTCTTCTCCCACGGACCCCGTGTGGCTTGAATATTTGTGCCCCTTTAGAACCAACTTTGGCTACGCTGTTGGCCTCAGGGCTCCGGATCCCCCTAAAATAGCTGTGGCTTGACGACTCATCCTATTACCAACCTTCCTGCCCGTCGCACCACTGTAATGAATGCCATCCTGTGCAGAGGGGCGAGCGCCAGACTCGTACACGTCTTGGTTCACCTCCATTATGCTTTATCCGAGTTGTCGGCTCATACCCTTGATCACACAGTTGGCCTCCACTACTCTCTTTTCAATCCCACGAGACTGCCCCCAGACCTCTGGGACTGTGCATATGGTCACATGCTCACTCCCAGAGGCGTCTTGGAGCTTACGCATCCCATCCTCTGTCTCTGAAGGTTCCGATTCTTGCCCATCAACACATCATTGAGACCAGAATGAATAATGACAAGATTTTCGCCCTCCATGCTGTCCTCTACAACCTCCTGAGCTTTGGCCAGTGCATCCACCATGCTCTTCCCTGATTGGGCCTCCACCCTAACACTCCCATCTTCCTTCACTGTCGTGAAGACGCCATCTCTAACCCTGTCCACGTTAGTCCCCCACCACTAGGCCCTTTCTATGCTCCAATCGCTGGCTTCCTGTTTGTATTGGCGCCCCTGTTTGCTTTGCCTGTTTCTCTCTCTGCCATCTGTCCTGTGTTCCTGCCCTGCTCGAAGACTGCCGCGCCACCGAGCTGTATGTTCTCGGAGCCTCCGTGCTGTGGCCAGACACTGCGGCCCCCTGACCTCCCTTCTCGCCTGATGCTTCCCGCCTGTCGCCTTCTCCGCTACCCATGCCTTCCGTCTCACTCCGCTCGGGGTCAAGGAAAGCGCCATTAGCTCCTTTACCTGCTGCTCGAGCTCGGTCCGCCCTTCCCGTTCTTTTCGAAGATCGCCCTTCATTTGCTCCAATAGGCTGGCGGTAGCCTCCTCCCGCTCACGTGACACTCTGAGCTGTTTTTGAAGTCCTATCCTCTGCTCCCGTTCTGCCCTAAGCTTCCCCTAAAGCCCCTCGATGCTAGCCTCCATGCATGACACGGCCGCCTTCAGGGCCTCGCACAGCCTGCACACGAAGCTCGCCTTCTGCGCGTCGGCCAAACTCGTGAATCCTGTCTTGTCTAAGTAGCATCAGCGCTTGCATTCTTCACACTGCACCAGCTCACTCTTGCCCGTGGTTTTCCTAGCCTCATTAGCCATCGCCCGCTCGACCATCGGACCGAGTACCCGACAGCCCTAAGTTCAACCCTAATCCCGCTATTCAGCTGCCTCCGCTAACTCTCCTACCTCAACAACTGTTTGAAGCTGGCGTCTACACCACACACACGCGTGTTCAATTCACTAGTAGCCCCTCAGTAGGTCCACTTCGTGTTTAGTTCTAGCTGTTTAACAACTAATCGGGCGCACCAAACTTCTTCAAAACAGCCGCCTACACCGTTCACGCGGTCAACGTCACTGCAACGTTGCTTATGCCCCACACCCACAGGACCCGTAACGCAAGTTATTGATTAAGAGAGAAAAAATAATGGCGTTCACAAACACACACAAATAAAGGACAACTTATCTCTCGTTGAACGCTGCTCCTGTACCAACCAACCTGCTCGACCTTGCACGACCATGCACCTCTATGGCCCAGCCGAACATGCGAGACCACACGCGTGGTTCCCTGATGAGTGTACGGCACGGCACGAGTGCACAAAAATTCTACCGGTGCCGCCGCGAATAAGTGCCTACATTTATAGTGGCTAGAAAAAAAAAGAGCCAACGATCGCTTTTTTTTGCTGGTTTGACGCGGCAGCACGGGCGCAATGTTTTGAGCAACCAATAGAATAACATACAATAATCCTGAAACAGCGGATCACTGAAATTTGCATTGTGCAAAGATGAAGTTGTTTCGCGCTTACGCAAGAAGTTAAAAAGAAGCAGCCCGAAGTACCTCTATGGCTGACGGCTCCGTGAGTGGCTGACAAGCAGGCAATAACTGAGGCAATGATGGAGAGGGCGATCGAAGCATTCGAAGAAGACGCAGAGGGGACGACCGAGTAGAGCAATTCGAAAAATAAGTGGGAGGAGGAAGAGCATTGAGCACGAAAAAAAAAACCGTCATCGTAGCATGGTGAGTCTGTCATTTAGTGCTTCATAAGAATGTTATTTTTTTTACACCTGAACGAGAATCTTTGCCTGGGAAACATATCACATCGTCTGCTGCTGCCGAACGTTGCTGTCGAATTATTGCACTTTCCAGGAACATATTAATTATGCGGAAAGCATTACACATGTAATACAACATAGCTATATGGGGGTATTAATAGTTTTTGCGATTTGAGCGCAAGATCCGGAAAATCGTATTAAGCGGGAACATATCAACAATGATCTGCTTTAGTACCACCAGTTGCTCTTCACTGAGAGTGTAAGATGTTCACGTGTTTGCCAATGCCAATGAGCTTGTTAGGACAGGACAATCCCATACAACTGGAAGCACTGTTAGCTTTCCCCCATCACAAACGGAAGTCACCTTCGTACGTTTCGGGGGAACATTTTATCGAGCGAGCGAAGAGCGAGGAATGTCCCAGTGTGCATTTTACAGAAATTATTGGCTGCCAACTCCGTGCTGTACACTGAATTATTAGCGAGGTAGACCTAATGTTTCTCATTCGAGTATCCAATATGAGAGGATGTCTCTAATAGAAAGGGGAGACACAAGTGCTTCAAAGTGCACTCACCTGTTCCTCTCAGTGAGAAACGTTACCAAGATTTGGTGTCATAAACATGGCAAGGTACAGGCCACACGAAATCGTTTTTTGGTAATTTAACACAGTTACATTATAGCAATACTGCTAGAAAGAGCAATTACTAGATCATCAACGAGAGCTAATTAAAAGCATTGTTATGCCCACCAGTGATGTCTCACTTGATTCGTGGCAGCTCTGGAATCTTGTCAGTGGCTAACAGAGACAGTAAATAGAAAAATCCAAGTAACTAGGCAGCACCAAAACATTTTACTACTTGTAAAATTTTACTTACAATTCTTGTTCTTTGGACAGTGTTACAATAGTAACTTCTGCTAACAAAGTCACACAAACAAAAACAGTTTCATGAAACAGCAAAAAAAAGAGAAACAGAACATGGATGACAAACCAATATATGGTCAGTCCCCAGGCAGGAGGAAAAATTATGTATGACTTCTTCACTGCACCAAGGTTGCTACAGTCATCACAAACTAAAAACAAGGCGAGCAATCAGAACATGACCTGTATAGCATTATGGCGAACCTTCACAGAAAGAGGCTGTTGAAAGTTTCGTAGAACACCTTTCACGTGCCCATATGATAGAACGTGTGTTTATAGCCATTTGAGCAAAAGATTTTCGCTGAACAGACAACATCATATGCAAAATGTACAAGCTCGGCCCAAATCGCTCAGCTTTCGAAGCTCCCCTTATCTCTTCTGCTCTTGCAAAGACAGTTTATCCACTCCTGCAGAGAAGGGCACAGCACTGCAGAATTACAAGCATTGATACTACGAATCCTGCTGGCAGAATATGCAAGATGCCAGATATACGGGAAGGAAACATAAAGCTGCTTTTGAGCTTGCCAGTCTTGTACTGGCACAGGACTACAGTACCGTGCCAGCAGGAATGAAACAACAGCACATATATTTGCCCAAAATTTCGCCAAAATTTCAGGCAATATTGTGTTCACCGAGAACTGCCATGAGAATACTCAGTGAGAAAGGTTATTCAGAGAGAAGGAACACAAGCTCTTGAATGTGATTGACGTATTCCTTGTAACATTGGATACCTAAGCTGGGGTAAAACCATTTGGGTGCCAAGACAAGATGAGCACTACAAGTGAATTTGGTCTGTTTGCTTACCCTTGCAATGTGTGATATCAGTACTTTAATGCACTTCTAAGGTGCATTAATGGTGGCTTCTAGTAGACACTTTCAATAAGACTGTTTGCAATTAGGGCAACATGACATCTTGTTCCTTCCTTTTCTTTCTTTAAGAATTACCTTAAGCCACACACAATGATGGCTGTACAATGAGTAGAAGACGTGAATTCCAAGTGCCACACAACACACTGCTCTTTGATCACGCTATACAAAGGAAAAGTTTAGTTTTTACACAGAGTCAGAAAAAGCATGTAGCATACTATGAATGTGAACACTGAGTGCGTATGAACCCATGCCGTCAGCCAGAGTTCAGTCGGCAAAATCGCATATATCCAAAGTGACTATCCAATAGAAAAAAAAAAAAACGGTGATGCTTACAAATTACGCAGGTGACACAGAAAAGGGCCAACAAGGCAGAATGCACCAAACTTGTCGGTTGCTACACAGCATATAATTTCGCGTGTCTCTGGGTGAAATGCGCATTTTCGTGAAATCACCGGCACAAATCAAAACACTGCTCTTCCTCGCCTCTGCCACACGGGTGTCAGGGTCACTTCAACAACTTGTAAAAAGTAAAAAATAGGGCGAGCACTGTGGAACATTTTGAGTGACCCACACAGGTAACGCAGCAGATTACTTGCTACATCTGCAAACACTGCAAAACTAGAGGTAGGACAAGGGTGCAAATCTGCACTGCAGATAACGCAAGGTCTTCTATACCTTCTTTTCACACTTCATTGCTTCAGTAAAACACTGTAGTGGCCGAAGAAACAAAGAAAGCAAATATGGGTGTGGAACAGTTACCAACTTTAGTAATGGGAGCACTCTGTCTCAAAAGAGGGAAAGAAATCAGCAAAGAAAGATGAGGTGTATGTGAGTGTCATGCAGGAAATGCCTGTTAGAAATAAGTTTTCGGCACATGTCTGTGAAATTCTGCCTCTTTCTCTGGCATATTATGGATCACATTACAGGTCACAAGTACTTACAGTAGACTATCAATAATTCGAACTCTGATAATTTGTACTTTTGGTTAATTCAAACAAAATTCATTTTTTTGGTTGGCCCTCTATTCTTTCAATGTATTTAAAAGCCTCCTATTAAACTCCATCATTCAGTTGGTACTTTTTGCAGGTCTATGCCAAAAAATATCCAGCTTTCCCACTACTATTTAAAAATGTGTGTGCTTATATAATCTTAACAGTCTGAAAATGCAAAATGAGCCCCTGAGGCATTCAGGGAAAAAGGCTTTGCAAGTAAACAAATGTTTGAAACGAAGCACACGCATGGTAAACCGTAATGCTTCTCAACTGGTATAGAGAGCTTGTGCCGAAGGCACACACCTGTAGCAATGAAGCAGTTGGCAATTCACGATTTCTTCAAAAGGTCTGATCAGCAGTAAATGGACAATAAACTTGTGGACTTTACATTTCTGCTTTCTGTTCACTGCATACAGTTAGGGCTTAAAAACACATAAAATTTTTTAAATGTGATAAAATCAATGCCTAATCATAATGTGTGGTGTCACCTCACCCAGAGTCATCTATCTGAGAACTTCTGATAATTCATAGAAAATTCAGAAGTCCTTTAGAGTTTGAACTAACGAGAGTCGACTGTAGTTGCATTTACTGAAAACTCATTCCCAAGGTCACTTGAGTAACAGACAACTGTAAACGTCCCCATTCTCTTGGCAGCAGGCCGTGTGCATGACATGAACAGCTGCTTAGTCGTACATTTTTTTCTGGGTAGCTACATACAAAATAGGGCAAAAGATACAGAAGACTGGAAAAGCAAACAAATGAACCGTGGTGAAACCTGAGAAATGCTGTCGCATGTAACACCAGTGCTGTACAGTAGGCAAGTGGGGAGGTTACATAAATATCAGGTATGCCCAGAGCAGTCTTGCTTGACACATAACTCTCTTTGCGTAGCTGATGCACACTTCCCAAGTTTTATTGGCTCCATCAACATTACTCGAGGGCCTGTGAAACCAAGCGAAGTCCAGTGCTTTTGCTGCCCATTTGCCACACATATTCCTAACACCGAACTATACCACTCTGCATGATAAAAAGCAAATATGTACATATAGATGCCCAATTCTGGCTGTTTATTTCACATTTCACTTGTGTCACATTGTGGCCTTTCAGCATGTTGCATTTCAAGTTTCAAAAGATGATGGTGCATTATTCTATATTGGTGTCGCATGGCTCACAAAAACGAAGAGAATCAAATGTGAATGGAGGATGCTCATTGTACCGGGAAAGATGTCGCTAACTGTCTAACTTTCGAATCACACATTTATATACAAGTTGAAAGTTCTAACAGGCCCTCTTTCGCTTCTTAAACCCCCATTTTTTTTATTTGTGGGTTGTATAGACTGATAGCAGGACAGATAAATGCAGCAACAATGGCAGCAATAGTAGCATGCCCTAGGAAGTTATTCCACCAAAAAATTAGGAATACAAGAAAAAACAAACAAATTTCACGGGTAATATGTGATGATTTGTCTCACTCAGTGACATAACCTGCTGCTACCGGTAAGAGCTAGAAGCACCTACACAGTGGAAGTTTGCATTCCATGTTTGCTTGTTCCACCCAGGGTAATAATAATGCCATTACCACAGTAACAAATACAGTGAAACCCCGTTAATATGTACCTGCTAGGGACGGCGGCATATCTATGCACTAAGCGTACCATGCATTAACCACCAGCTACAAATTTGCATCTCCTGACATGCGCCATCGCCGCCAACAATGGAAGAAACTCAGTGCCACGGGAAACATTGACTAAAGTTCCCACCGCAAAGCCATTTCTTTTTTTTTTGCCAAAGTACAGAAAAGTTGCTGATTCTCGCACAACCGTCCGATAGCACACGATGGCGACGCCAATGAGCATTTAGAAACTACAGGGAGATCCGGGATACGCAGCGTTGTACAGCAATAGAACGAACACAATCGGCTGTTCGTGAAAGTTTTTCCACGGTCTGCTTCTTAGCGAAAACTCACGCATTTTCTTTTTTAAAACGCAGTTCAGTCTCAGAGAGCCAGATTGTTTACTACATGACTAGTTGCATGCAGTGCTTCGCTCACCCTGTGCACACCATCACTGCCGATCTGCTTGCTGTAGAGTACACCCTCTCTGCTTCAGGCCATGCACAAGTTTGGCGAGTAGCCTGCTCAGTTAATGCGGCAACGAAGAGCTTACGCAAGCAATGCGCTCTCCGTGATGCTCTAGCAGTCCTGGCAGCAGATAGAGGGGCGTTTGGGCTGTCGCTACATAAAAGCGTCCAGCATGATAACAACAGCACTACGCTCGCTGTACGATGCGTGCATTGGCGTAATAAAGCAAGGTTTCTCAGTGCCGGCAACGCTAAACTCTGTGACAGCGAGCTGCTTGCGTTTATGTAAAGCGGTGCGTGTTTGAACACGGTCCCGGAAAACGAAGCGGCAACGATCGGCAGCCCAGCCCGTTCAGGTAGTTGACTCCTAAAAGAGTGCAGTAGGCTTAAAGTGACGCTACATCACACGTTTGCCCGAGCAGATAACTAAGGATGCTTACTGTGATAAGTCTTTTTGCTGGCAATAAGTCGTACCAGCGCGTTTGTTGGTGGTCGCTACCTCGCCTTCGTTTTTTCCCTGATGATTACTCGGAATGTCATCGCCGCAATCGCGCAGAAATTGGAATAACTTATTGGCTGATCTCCGCACTTATCAACATGACGGTGGCACAGTAAAATTTTGTGGCACAAAATGTTATTGTGTTACACAGTTATTACGCACTAACCGGTAGGCATAAGCCAAACACTACTGATCAAGCGGTCTACGAATGCACTAGTCTCCGAGACTCCATCGGGGACTCGTCGCAACTAGATTTTAAACGTTAGTATGCTTAAAGCGGGAATGCACTAACGAGGTTTAACTAATGTGAAGCCACACACCTGGAGAAAAAAGTGAGACAACAACAACTTGCTGAGGTGAGAAACATTTACCACTTCAACAGCATTCACTAGTGTGAAGAAGTAAAAAACCGGGCTACTCATGAGAGCACACAAGTGAGAAAAAAACCTTTCACGCAGATTCACTGCTTGTGCGTGCATTTCTTTACGCTTAGAGGCCACAGGTGAGAGAGCAGCTAGCGCTTACCGACTTCTTATAGTTGTAATGCTTACATTTTACGACCACATCTATATGCAATATATTAAGATGTACAGCAAACAAACTGAAACCAAACTAATCTAACTTCCAGCAAGATTTCACATCAATGAAGAACTAGTTATCTGCAACTTTGTTTTTATCAATATGGACAAGCTTCTGATGATGACTTTTCTATAAGAAGTGCTTCTGGCGAGCCCCACTATGCACTGATGCTGTTGGCAGCCCATGTCACAACTGCTTTGCGTGATTAAAATATCAAATAAATAATTTCATATCCATGCTACGAACCACGCAAAAGGTTTCTCTAACAAACTGTCTACACAACCTGCAAAAAAAAAAAAAAAAAAAGAAGGAGGCTTCGAAAGTGTTCGAGAGTCCTTCTAAAGCTGTACACTGCTAATCGCACAAACTAACAAGGACAAGACGTGTCCACCACAAAGTTCTACTAGGCACATACATAACGCAGCCTCAGGATGAGATGAGGAGAGGATGCGATAGAAGACGGGGCAGCAAGTGTGTTAAAGGAAACCCTGAGCCTCACAGACCAATCATTGTGAGAGCTGGAAAACAAGCAACAATGCACAGTGACCAGCATGCACAAATGACCAACAAGGCCTTTCACCTAATACAACTCGCATCCTCACAACAGAGACACGTTCATCAATAAAAAAAAAAATGATTACCAGTGGATTAGGTGTCAGAGGCTCAGGGCCATAAAATGCAGAAGAAAACGATAGGCTTCAGAGCATATGGCTATAATTTGCACCCTCAAGGGAGACTATGGTTGTAAACAAAAACTGCTGCCACCGAAAAAAAAAAACAAAAAAAAAAAAAACAAACAAAAAAAAAGAAAGGCATGACCAAGTTCTCAACACTGCTTCTACGACCAGTAAGCTTTCTTTGCCATTCATTCTTAGAGAAAATGTGATATGACGGGATTGGTTAGAGGAGAAAGCAGAGGGGTGGGACATGTTTGAGCATAAGAGAGAGAGGAGAGAGGAACCTCACGTCTAGCCGAGGGGTGCGCTACAAAGCACGAGGCATGCAAGACAAATGACAACACAACAAATGATCTGAGCACAATTTGGAGCACAACACACATGCTCCGTCTGAACGCCTCATTTGCTATCACGTGTTGTAGCACAAGATGCAGAGTGGAGGATGGAGCTTGAAATAGTAGTTCAAGGAACAAGGCCTTAGCTAGGCAGCAGGAAGGAGGATTGCTTGCGAAGCAGCTTTCGCTCCTTTAGTGCCAGGTACTGAGTACGTGCTGGACTTGTACGCATGACGAGGATGTAGCCCAGCTTGTTCCGGATAACAGATGCCGTGCCAGGGTCTGTCTCAAAGACATGGTTCTTGAACTCTCCGCCAGATAAGTACACTACTTTCACCACACACTTCTCTGGAGAGCCCATGCCTGGTAGGAAAAAAAAAAAATACGGCATCCGGCACAAATGTACACGAAAATTTATCACAACACATTGCAATCTGAAGAGCAATATAGTCGCTCAAGGAGAGATAGAAGTCAAAAAACAAGCTTTTTCCAAAATTACACAATTTTCATTTCTATTTGCTTTGACAAGTTTGGTTTCTCTACTTTTGCAACAAAAATACTAAAGATTGCAGTTAAACTTGAAGTAAATTAACATAACTTTTCAGGAGCACAAGGTGGCTAATAAAAACTAAAGCTCATTGTATAGTTTCCTGAAAATTGTCACCTGGCTGCTTGCCATTGCATTCTGCATGCGGAGTTCACTAAGGCCACACACTTAAAATAACAATGATAGCCAAGCTCTCATGGCAGAAGAAATCATTCAAGAAAACATATCTTTGGTGCATAGATGAAATTTGACACATACCTTTAAGATGAATTTTTCCCAAGATCCATTTCTGGGCAATTTCTTAAGTTTAAAAATCATATTTTTGGTACTTCTGATAACCAGATCAGAATGAATTTTTGCCCACATATTCCTTAACATGTGAAGGGTGCAAGAATCTTATTTAAAAACTTATATTGTCTGTATAATTACAAACCTAAAGCAAACAATCAGTATGGGCTGATGATTCTAAGAATTATTACATTACAATTTTTCTTGTACATTAAGATGTACATACTTTCTTGATCAGTATTTGAATTTTACAGGTAATATGAAGCAATATGAGCCATTAATGATTCAGAACTATACAGGTTTAGCCACATAAAAACTTCGTCCAAAACGAACTATACTTTATACATTGTCATTGCACAAAATGAAAACTGTGCAACTTATACTATAAAACTAATTACATATTTGAAATCAGCATAAAAGCCTATATATGCAGCAAAACATTTCATTGCCCTAGGCTACAGATTAATAAAACTTTTTTTTCAAATCACATCTCCTCTTAATTACTTTACTACCACTATTAAGAAGCAAAACACTTTAAAGACAAAATTATTGTTAGTGAGGTTAGTTAAGCTGTCAGGAGTCGTTTAAAGGGGTTGCTGCTAACTGTGCTTGATTAATGAATAACAGATATTTAAATAACTGAACAAGCAATAAACCATTTATCCATTTCAAGACATCAGGCCCATTTAGCCACTGTAGAGCTGCGTTATAAACAGATTTTTTAAGCAATACTTTTTTGCAGACTAGTTGGTTTATACTTTCCTGTCTCCCTTGTTTTCCCTCAACTTTGTGCAGCAATTCAATTTTTCAAGGTTTTTTAAACATGCATATTCCTTTTGTTTCATGTTGATTGGCTTAGCCAAAAAATATTAATTATTATAATAAAAGGAATTCTATTCCTGTTTGATAGCTCACTTTAGAACAGAAAAAAAGTGAACACTCCTGCTTCGCATTTGCAGTTGAAACATGTTGCAAACACCAACATGCTTGAAGGGGCCCTGCAAAACTTTTGCAGCATAGTTAGAAAACTCTCCTGATCAGTAGCAGTAGTCGAGGCTCATTGGAACACGCAAGCCAAACATAACACAAAATGTGGCCTCGAATTTACAATGAATTCTCAAGGTCAGCTACAAATTGCTTCTTCCTCTATAAATTATTCCACATACCTAAATTACATCCTCATATATACAAAATTCACGGCCGTTGGCTGCTTTGAGCATCATGAGCGGCATAGTTACCAAGACCATCTCTTGCCTGCGCGCACACTGGTGATCACATTGAAAGTAAGCCACGAATTCGAAGAAAAAACTGAAAAAGCACTCAAGGTCATGACACAAGGTCTGACGAAGGGCTCCCCTGTGTTACTGCTCGCCTGTTGTACTTCTCCCTGTAGCACGCTCGCTGATAAGACAGAAGAGACTGCGCTCGCAGCACGAGGGCAATTCCCATAATACCACCCGTCCTCAACAGATTCCAAAAATTTTTGCGCCATTAAATTTGTGAGGCATAAGTTCGTTCAACGAAGCCACTAGACGACTATACTTGAAAAAATGTTGCAGGTCTCCTTTAAGATGCTATTAGTTTAAAAGAGCAAATGAGGCATCGGCCTAGAATTATCTATGCAGCTAGGGGTTAATGATATTACTTATGAGGATCTTAACTTCCCGAGCTCCACTGAAAAGCTTGTGCAGTGAATGGTGTGCAATGTCTTCAGTGCAGTTCAATTCCATTGACAATGTGCCAATCAGGCATAAGTTGCGACAAACTGATGTTCTACATGCAACATCTCGTAGCAGAGTGAAAGAAAGGGTGCACGCAGGAGAAAGCAATGACACATGGTCGTGAGTTGCTTCTGTCTATGCTTTCCTGCAATTCATACGAATGTGTTATGTATAAGCTACAATAATGTGAACAAACTGTGATGTTATGTGACAATCTCTCAGCATAATTTTGTTTCACAAGATGGTGTGTACCCTGAAATGAAAAACTAGTGCAGCTGAAATAAATGCTTTGGACACTAGCATGCGCACAATTGTCATATGGCACATTTGTGCCAGAAAATGAACACTGCATAACTGTACCTGCAGAAACAGACAAAGGAAATGGGCATTTCTTTGGACGCCAGCTTTTTTGTGTGCAAAGACAGAAATGGGGATTATCAAGAATGCAGCTTGTTCATTACGTCAATGATTCTTGTAGGTGGTGTATTGTATACTGCAAGGTAAGTGAAGTTTAGAATGCCTAGCAGTTACCGATGTCACACGCACATCCTCTTTGTGCTAAAAAAAAACTACAAGTGGTACTTCAACAACCCTCCCAACACTTTTAGTTCAGGAAATACGCTGCTAAAATTTTTTTCACAGTGCCTTATAGAAAGTGCCCCGATGAGTGTAGGTCGCTCTCACGAGATGACAACTATCATTCTGTAGGTGCATCTCCCTCCAAAAGCAAAACTGTCTTTTTTCAAGACACCTCATCAGTTCTACAGCTCCACCTTTATACCCTTCTGAATGTGGCAGCTGAAATTCAGAACATTTATAACTTATTACTCATGAACGCAATTCTTTTTCTGACATGAAGCTTACCTATAGGGTCAGTTCACCTCGCCACCGTGGTCTAGAGGTTATGGCGCTCAGCTGCAATCCCGAAGGTCACGAGATCGAATCACAGCTGTGGAAGCTGTATTTTCGATGGAGGCGAAAAATACTGTAGGCCTGTGTGCCCCGATTTGGGTGCAAGTTAAAGAATCCCAGGTGGTCGAAATTTCTGGAGCCCTCGCTGCGGCGTCTCTGATAATCATATGGTCACTTTGCAATGAGGGTTGAAGCACTAGCGTGGCTCAGTAGTATAATACTGGAATGGCAAGCAGAGGACTCGGGTTGGAATCCTATAGTGTACTTGGCGTTGTTTATTTACTTAGTTTTTTTTTTTTTTGCTTTCGTGCGGTAGAGGTTACAGACACCAGTGGCGGCGGCGGACAACTACGGCACCAAAAACGATCCCTGTGATTTCATAACTTTTGCTGTTGTCGAAAAATAGGGGGGAGGGGGCAAGGCCAACACTTGGTCATTTGTGCTATGCTATCAGCGCTGGTGCCATGATGGGAAGACATAACAGGACTGAACTCGTTACACAGAGAAACAAGAAAGTGGCAGGTGGAGGAGCTAGACTCAACTGTGTTTTCGGTGGACAAACTCGCATGCAGCAATCTCGTTCATGTTGTGCGTAACTGCCTTTGGCTGCCAACTCCAGAGTCGGTTCTTGGGTTTCTGATGCAGAGGCGTTATCTCCACCTTCTCGCCGGATATACCTGGTAGCACATAAAGAGAACAGGCAAAGAAGGGTCAAAACAATGTGTCAAAGACCAGAACCTATAACACCAACATTGCGCTCAGGATATTTATAGAACACTGCACGGAAAGCACAAAACACCTGTCAAAAGTTCATCTAAAGAAAAAAAAATGCTATAGAACAAATGTTAACTAAGGTAAAACCAAGCAGTAGGGGCTTTGAAGCATGAACGCCGCTCCCTCTCCCATTTAAGTATTTTACATTGTACGGTTAAGCGGACACTAAAGAGGAACAATGGCTTGCTTCAGATAGGCAAACTGCTCTCTGAGAACTCTTATGTCATATGTTTCACTACCACAATTTCATTATTAGCAGAGAAAACCGAGGTTAAAGTTTAATTTTCAAATTCAGCGCTAAAATCATTGTGTATGACATAAGAAATTTCAAAATGTACTTTCGGCATTTTCGTGATATCACTCGATCAAACTTTATGAAACTTCGTATGCTAAGTCTATGGCACCCACAGATTACATTGTACTTTATTTTTATTCATTGAAAGTTACGTAGCACCCCAGAAGACGCCTTCAAAATTTCTTACGTCACGGTGTCTGGTGCTGAAATTTCAAGGTGGCGTCGCTAGTGGCATTTTCTTTTAGCACATTTTCCCATTTTCAAGATTGTGAAATTGTACTTTGATATTACCCGAAAAATCGTTTACCTCTTAAGTGTCCCTTCAAGACAAAATAGACTGGAAAGTGAATAACACAGAGAAGGGCTGTCACAATTTTGAAAGGGACTGGATGTTAGCGATGTTTTTGAATCAAGAAAGTTGTTTCAGCTGTGCCTGATGTATTTCATTATCAATCGTATCCAGAGGGCACAAGACCTAACAATTTTTAAATTGAAAAAAGTCACAGTTTTGCCAAAAAAGCCAAGCAATGAATGCGATAGCAACATGTTCAAATGTTTTACAAAGCAAGACTAGCATTTTTAGGAGCAATACTAATTGTAGTAAACATGCGCTTGCTAAGTAACCAGGTTTCCTGCGGCGCAGCCATAGTTGATGGCCACAACAAAGCTCGTGCGTAATGAAAGCGTTGACGAGAAGCGCCCCACCCTTGGTCAGCGCATGCTGATACTAAGGGCTATACGCCGTGTGTCGCTACTGGTGGCAGCTTGTTGTGGACGGCCCCGCCAGCAGAAAACTAAAAAAATCCACTTCTACCATGGGAGGGAATAGCGAAATTCCAATAGGTGGGGATTGCATGGAGGTAACAATCCCCCCGCTCAAACGAAAGGCCAAAATTCAAAAGACCGTAGAATCGCAAGTCCCCAGGCAAGACCTTGCTGAACAGGAAAGATTAGATACTATTGAGAAGAAGGTAGATCAAATACTAGCCACGATCCAATCGTTAGTTGAGGCCACGACCAAAGCGCCCATCGATGTTGCAGCACTCACCACCAGAGTCGAAACCATGGAGCGATGTCAACACCTACTGTACATGCAGGAGCCAATGTGCAATCACAGCAACAGCACTCCTCGTATAATCCAACCGTGGCGACACCGATAGCTATTCTACGGCAAGCTACTTTTATCCCTTCGTCCCATGCGACTTACGGATGAGCAGACAAGGTGAGGGACAGTTCAAAATTTGGCAATGAAATTGTAGGGAATATGGGACCAAAAGATACGTTCTCCAACAATATATTAAGCAGGGCAATAAACCAGACGTTCTTTTGCTCCAGGAAACGCACGGGCTTGCCAAACTGGCGGGTTACCGATCCATAGGCACCGGATGGGGCGACAATGATAGAATTCTCGCGACATTAGTTAGCAAAGAACTGACAGTCAAAACCCATGACCTCGGTGTAGAACATGATTAGAGAATGACAGAACTCATTCCTCGAAATTCAAGGATGACAAGTATTTTTATATTAAAAGTATATAAAGTGATGTTAGTACACACTTATATAGGCATTATGCTATGCGCAATTGCATGTACTCAACCATAAATACAGATCCACCTGGGCCATCCTTGGACTCAATCTCAAAAAAGCCTTTGATAATGCGGCACATAGCACCATTCTAGCTTGAATTTCTAGTCTAAACATGGGAAAGAGAGCGTACAACTACCGTATTTACTCGCGTATGATCGCACTCGCATAATGATCACACTCGCATAATGATCGCACCCCTAAATTTTGTCCTCTAAGTTCGACTTTTTTCCCCCCGCTTAATGATCGCACCCTGAACTTGCCGCATCGACATGTCATGTGCCAAGTCTAGCTGAACACACCTATCATTGTTTCTGTGATCTGAAAGCGGGCATCACTATGCTAATGCCGTAAATTTACTGATTTAAATGAAAGCATTCCTTATTTAGATGGAAGAAACTGTTCTGACGCACGTGATGTACTCACAACCTCCATAACTGACGCAAAGAAGAAAAAAATGCGGTGGCTTCGCTCCACGGAGTGCTTCGCTCCACGGAGGAAGGAAAGGTAAGGAGAGGGCATGCCCAGCCGGCGCAGGGCGTAAAAAATGTGGCGGAAATGACATCATGGCGGCCATATTCACTAGGCACAATGGCGGCGTTGCTATGGTTACGTTTTGCGCAGTGGAGCTGGTCTAGCAGTGAGCGGCCGCGGCTGGCGGCGGAATGTGTGCCTCCCCAGGTCTCGTACTGAGCTGTGGCGGACAATATCTGTGCTCTGCGCCGCCTTATTGGTTACGCAGTGTTCTCCTGGCTGTTACATTACTGTTAGCAACGTTTACAAATACCTTTGTCCATCACGGCGTTTCAACAGTGCGTAGAACAAGTGCATATCCATGTGTCGTGCGGCGGATGACGCGAATGAAGCAGTTAGTGTTCAGCGAAATTGCGTTGGGCACCATGACGGAGCCGAATGACGACGAACGCCTTGCAGGTCAGTGACGGTTGAGCAGTGCTCCTGCTTGTGACTACGGACGACGCTGTTGAGCCCAGCAAGACGCCGTGAGGACCATGTGCACATACGTAGTTTCGTGTTGTGTGTGTACAGTAACAACTTGCATGTGCGTATTAAAACACCTTTTCTGTTCCGCTTGGTACACTCTCCACCAGCATTGCATGTAATCTCAACGTAACAGCAACCACGTTCAACTGTCACTAGCACCGTGCTCAAAGTCACCACGGTCGCAGAATGCTGACGCCGGTGAGTTTCACGCAGAACTCGGACACAGTGGCAGGACGCTGCGTCGGCCGCGTGGCGGAATGCAACCGTAGAAGGCGCACGACCAATCGTGTTGTCTGTACAGTTGCTGAATTAATGACGTGAAAGCACTCGCCATTGTCAGTGCATCTAGCGCGCGTTCTCTCGTAGTTGCTTCGTTGTCGGCGAGCTGTTACTCCCTGTTATTACTCGGACGAAGCTATTTCGCTGAAGGTGTCCCGCTGGCTCAGAGTGATGAGCCCAGTTCCATTAGTTTCGGATCGTCACGACACACGCGCTGCGCAGCCTACGTGCTTTCCGAGCCGGAGAGGGAGTCGCGCCTTCTGCTTCGCATTCATATGTAAACAAGAGAGGAGAATTTGCCTAGTCAATATGGCCGACTTCCGGCTTCATCGCGGCTTCACAACGAGTGACGTCAGGGCCTCTCCTTACCTTTCCTTCCTCCGTGGCTTCGCTCGGTCAGCTGCCATGTTTGTTTTGACATCCCGCACTGTTACAGCGGCGGCCGCCTGTTGGTCGACTTGTGTTCATCCCGCAGCAATGTTTTTTTTTTTTTTCCTGAGACAACTTTTTTTTTTTTTTGGTGTGCTTTGTGATCGTCTGTTGAAGCGCCGTTTCACCATGGGGCGGTACACAAGCTTTACTGCCGCGTTTAAGCTGAAGGCGCTTGACTAGGCGCTAGAGCACGGCAACCGCGCTGCCGGCAGACATTTCGGCGTCAACAAAATCCGGATCCGATATTAGAAAAAACAGCGCAACATGCTCATGGCTACTAACAGCACGCGATGGCCTTTCCGTGGACCCAAATCTGGCAAGTTCCCTGACATTGAAAAGGCAGTCCTCGAATACGTGAAGGACATATGCAAGGATGGTTATGCAGTGTCATTAGGCATGATACGGACGCAGGCGTGCACAGTTTCCCGGAGCCTGAAAATAGCCACAAAAAACTTCCGCGCCAGTTCTGGCTGGACGACACGCTTCATGCGGCGGAATGGACTGTCGCTGGCATTTCCAACGCGCTCGACGGAACGGAAGATGACCCTCTGTGGGACAGTGAAGACACTGCCGGTTCCGACAGGGAATCGTGCAGCGACGACACTGACGCCAGTGATGCTTCGGAGTCTGAATTAATGTAGAGGGTCAGAGAGGTAAAAAATAAAAGGGTAGTGTGCCATGCATGTAGCTCCTGCATTATGCATGCATTTTATTACAAAGGTAAGCCTTAATTTACTTTTATTTTTGGTTACGTTCATGATAGCTGCTGTAAGAATTCTGATTAGCAACTTTTTTGCGTTTCTGGTGCTCAGAATATTTTTTCACGGAACATTAACCCCGCGTAATGATCGCATCCCGAAGTTCGAGTCAATTTTTTGAAAAAAAAAAAAGTGTGATCATTATGCGAGTATATACGGTATGTTAAAAACTTCATGGCCAGCAAGAAAATCAGGATCACCATAGGTGATGTTAAATAAGACCTCTACGAGTTGGGCAGCAGCAAAACGCCACAGGGCTCCGTGATTTCGCCAATGCTTTTTAGTTTGACAATGATAGGTCTACTGAAGGAACGTGATGAAATTCTGGGAGTTCATCACTCTATCTATGTAGATATTACCATCTGGATAGCCGATGGTAGTGATGGCTACATTGAGTAGAGACATCAAGAAGCTGTAGCCCCGGCAAAGAGATACCGAGAAAGCACGGGCCTTCGATGTTCGCCAAAAAAGGAAAAGTCAGAGCTCCTTCTATATAGACCCACGCTGAGAGGCAGACCGCCAAAATCGTACGCAGGTAGTGGCGAGTACGAAGAGATTGCAGTCAGGACGGCCAATGGCAAACTTATACCCATAGTTCAGCATATAAGAGTCCTGGGATTGATCATTGAGTCCAAGGGAACCAATTAGAAAACGATCCACAAGCTACAAGCCAAGGTCGCCAACACTATGAGGTTAGTGCGCAGGGTTACAAATAGACATCGAGGCATGGGCGAGGCCAGCGTCATGCGCCTAATACAGGCATTTGTAATTAGCCATGTTGCATACGTAGCGGCTTTCCACAATATGCAAGCAAGCCTTAGGTGTCCCAGAATATGCAAGTAAGGAACTGCTCCTGAAACTAGGCGTTCACAACATGCTAGATGAGATTGCCGAAGCGTCTCACAATTAGAAAGGCTGTCAGCAACAAAACAGGCAGGAACATATTAACAAAATCGGGTATCGCATACCACGTTCAGCACCGCGAGAAATATGACATTATCACCTACATCCACTCTAAAATCGTGATAAACCCACTTTCTAGAAATATGAACCCCACTACGAATGCAGAACGCAGACACCACAGAGCAAAAGCGCCGCTCAAGACACATCGGACAAGTGAAAAGTCTCTGTTTGTAGATGCAAGCCCGTACTCCAAGAAGAAAGCACATGTTGCAGCGGCTGAAGACGCGACTGGAAACTGCGTTAATGCCTGTACTGTCTTTACGACACGGATTGAGGCAGCTGAAGAGGTGGCCATCGCAATGGCTCCCACTTCCAGAAAACACAGTTTCATTCTGAGTGACTCACAGGTTGCAATTAGGAATTTTGCATGCAGACACATTTCGCAAAGTGCCCTAAAAATTCTTGCGAGGAACCAGGAACTGATGAGTTCGAGGAACGTAAATATCTAATCTGTTTCCCGGCGTACACAAACGCGGCCACCAACACAGTCCATGCGCTGTCGCGAGATTTAACCCGCCGTGCAGCCCAAGGGGTACCCTTGTCGAGAGATGCTGCTGCCGAAATTGAACCTGTATTAAAAGACAGAATCTCCAGCAATGAAGAATATACCAAGTATGATCGTGACTTGAGGCGTATTTTCCCTCCACATCATCCAAAATTAGATCGAAAACAGGTGACAGACTGGCGAAAATTACTAACTCATTCTTTCCCCAGCACTGCTCAGGTACACAATGTTTCCATCAATTTACCCAGACTCTATATATAAAGCCTGTAAAGTAGAAGCGGCCTCCCTAAGCCACATGCTCTGGGAGTGTCCGAAGAAGCAAACAGACTCCCTAGAACCTCTCCGGGAGCGCTGGCATACAATGCTGTTCAGCTTCGAACTAGAAGACCAAACCTAGGCTATCCAGCAGGCCAGGGAGGCTATTTTGAGACAAGGTTTTCCATCCTCTACCTGAGCGGTCTGGCCCGGACCAGCAACTAGCCGGATTTCACAATAAAGTTGTTTCATTCATTCATTCATTTACCCCGCATAATAAATGCACCCCCCAACTTTGCTCGGATTCTTCTAGAAAAAAAGTGCGTTCATTATGCGAGCAAATACGGTATGTCTACTTAGAACAAGTAGTGACCGTGGAGCCGAACCATGAGAGTGAAATAACCAGAAAAATAAGGATGGGGTGGATCACATTCAACAAGCATTCTCAAATCATGAATGGTAATATACCACTAACCCTCAAGAGGAAAGTATATAACAGCTGCATCTTGCCGGTACTTACTTATCGAGCACAAACCTGGAGGCTTACAAAGAGGGTTCAGCTTAAATTGAGAACGACGCAGCGTGGGTCACGGAACAAACTGGGGTCAAGGATATCATAGTTGAAATCAACATGAAGAAATGGACATGGGCCCAGAACGTAGCAAGTAGGCAGGATAACCGCTAGTCATTGAGGGTGCCTGACTACATTCCCAGAGAAAGCAAATGCACAAAGGGGAAACAGAATGTTAGGTGGGCCGATGAGATTAGAAAGTTCGCAGGTATAACTTGGCAGCAGAAAGCACAAGACCGAGTTGTTTGGTGGATCATGAGAGAGGCATTAGCCCTGCAGTGGCCGTAGCCAGGCTGCTGATGATGATAATGATGATGATAATAGAAACAATGGTCTTAGATGTGGCCACAACCTCCTCAGCTGTTGTACTATTTCAACTAGAAATAGTCGACAGCGGAGGCTGTGGTAACTATGCTGTTTTAAGTATAATAAATTTAATTTTTTTGGGGTGGTGCTATGTACAGTTTATTGTACTTGAATATAAAAGACTTGACATATTAGACATGCGAGAACACTGGCTTTGTGTGTCGCTGTATAACACAGAGCCGCGAAAATTCTAGGGGGGGAGAAAGTGTCTTATACACTGGAAAATACGTTAATACATACCTGCCAAGTTCAAGGATTCTGAATCCGGGAGATTTCTGTCCCCGGGGGGGGGGGGGGGGGGGGGGGGGGCAGGAGGAGTGCGCTGAATTATTTGCTTCTATTTTTTTCGGCCCCCCCAAAAAAAAAACCCATAGACAAACAAACAGAAAAAACATCGCAAAAAACAAACGGGGGTGGAGGTTCTCAATCATTAGTGCCAACATCAGTGTTGGCCAAACACACGGGTGTAGGGTTTCCCACTAAGGTGAGAATCTCAAAGGATCAACACAACTAGCTGAATCTACTTCCATCAAAATAATGTGCGTATGTCTTCCTGAGACACACGTGAATAAACGGGACGGCGTAGCTGGCTGCCGCAAAAGCGCGGGTCAAAACTTTGCTCACTATTAGATTCTTTTGACAGGAACACCTCAACTCGTCTACATCCTTTTTATATTGCGATAGAAATTATATGGACAGTCTCGGCCTCGTCTACATCCTTTTTATATTGCGATAGAAATTATATGGACAGTCTCGGCTGGTTTTATTGCCATCGACGCAGTCATTCACCGTATATGTATACGTGTATGAACACTCAATAAAGAAAAAAAAAGCCACACACGCTCGGTGTCAAGCTTGTTGCAATGCGTCGACGCGCTCTCATCTCTCACAGTTTTCGTACCAAGGTTCGTATCGCCCGCCGCGATTAGAAAATATGTTCGGAACATTCGAATTTAGGGCCAATGGACATAATAGAATTCTGCTAGGGAATTACAAGAATTCGGTCCACTGCAGCGCCCTTATAATGAATAAAGTGGAATAAACATGGTTTCATTCATTCATTCATTCATGAATTCGTATTTGCCGTGCTTTTGCATTAGTGAGATTCTACTGTAAGTTTAAATTAACACCCCTTAAAGTCATTTATAATAAAATGGGGCAGGTTTGAAAAGACTGGAGCGGATTGAGCTGCTTTCTTGTCAATGTGGCCAGGTCACGCACAGACATTTCGATTGCCAGGAGATTTTCATGACAACTGTAGAAATGAAAGAAACGGTCTAAATCCGGGAGTCTCCCGGCCAATCCTGGAGACTCCCGTATGGTAACATATACGAACTGTAGATCTTTTTTTTATCTCTTTTTTTTAGGTTTGAGTTTGAACACCCTTAATTTTTCAGCTCTGGCTCTACGTGTATGAGGATACATGGCATGCTGGGGATAGCTGCATTCAGCCTGCTTTGAGCCCAACACTTGTCTGTAAGCAGCACAAGCAAAAGAAGGAGACCATCAGTAGCACGTCTACCAGAAAAAGTTCCTGCAAGCTGAAAGTGGGGACTTTCATGACACGCCTGCAAACTTAATTCATCAACCCTGTGTAGACCAGGCTTGTGAAGATAACGGCCCTTGATCACTATCAAGGCATATTCCAAAATAACCTTCAAGCTAAAACAGCAACATCACAAAAGATGGAAAACTATGAGAATAAACTTTTTATACTATGAAAACATATTGTGCTTGTCCTTCTACTTTTCTTAATCGTCAACACAGGGGCATGCCAATGTTTTCTTTTGAAATTCTGGTAACATTACACTAAGGTGCAGTTTTATTTTGCACTTGTGAGAATTTGGGTGCATTACATTTATTGGCATGTTAGATTCAAGCAATTAGAGTAAAAATTTAACCTTCTTTATTAACACTGCATACAAGCAAGGGCAATCAACAAAAATTTGGTCTGTGCAACCAATTTCGAGAAATCTAGTTACAGGAGGCCTGTGAAGAGTGAGATTGAGATTTCAATTGTATGCGATAGAAATCGCATGTAAAACAGGCTTTTAAACGATGCTATGTTTTCAACATGTACAATTTAAATTTAGCTGTAGCTTCACTAACGGACAATCAGTTCGAGAACAGTCAGTACACATTACAGCAGTGTTCAACTATAGTTCTTACATAATACAACTTAGTGAGTGACAGAAGCAATGCCTAGTGAGTGCCGTACTCACCTAACTGGACTTCAGTGTTACGTCCTATGCGAGGTACGAGAGCCACATTGAATGCTTGGTACAGGTGAGCTTCCATGGCGGTCATGTCTCGGTCAGGATAATCATCTGGCTGTGTTCTTGATAACACCGCTGCATGCACCAATTCAGACACACAGAAAAGAACTAAATGTGCAAAACGGAGCACAATCAGGCATCCTAGCGTGCATTAATCAACTGCCAAAATTGAGCACCAATGCAACTACTCGTTTAGTGTCCGAAAGTAGCAGCATAATAATAAAACACCATATTTGTTTGATTATAATGGCACTGCTATTGTACTAATGTGAGGGATGAATCTTCATTGCAATGTGGAGAAAAAATGAAAACAAAACTAAAAGAATTGTACTTTTTTGACAACTTGAATTTCGCCAATCAACTGCTACGCAAGAGTGCAGTTTAGGTAGCGAAAATCTGGAAAAGAAACTCTTCTTAGATTCAAGTAAAAACGGTATTCTGCTTCTGTGAATAACTTCGTCGACTTATCAAGAGAAACAAACCAGAAAAATGAGACTTCTTATAGAACTGCTTTTTTTTGTTATTTGGGTATCTGTGAGGCTGACTAATATTTTGCCCAGGAAGTATAAGTTGAGAAAACAAGTTCAAAATGTTGTCTCATTACTCTTTTAAGATATGCACATAGTACTTTATATGCATTTATTTATTGCCTGCTTAGCTTAATGCAGGTACTAAAGTACACCCATACCCAAGTACACAAGCAAACTTTGCATCTCCCCCCCCCCTCCCCTTGCCAAAATGTGGCCCCCTATGACAGGATTTATTCTGCCACCTTGGACTCAACAGCCATCAGCCATAGCACTGGGGATACGATGGCACATCCACAGAAAAAGCAGTGTAGCAGCTTGTCAAAGTGGCACACATCTTTAGTATGTTATCTTGGGTGTGCAATGATGGGCTATGCCTGAAACTTGGTTTTTGCTGTAGTGTCACTTTGACTCTGGACACCTACCATGGGCGAAATACCTCATTACCTATGCAGACTGAATCTACTGTTTGGTCTATTGTCACACTCTAACCCAATACATGCCAGGAACTGCAAGACTCGATTTTCTCTGCAACTATGGCGAAACCTCGGTGATATACCATATATACTCGATTCTACCGCGCCCTCGATTGTAACACGCACCCGGTTTCCACAACGAAAAAAAAAAAAAAAGTAAGACATCGATTGCAACGCGCACCCATTTTTCTCACTGGCCCACACGATCACACCACTCGAGAAAAAGACTCCTTTCGGGAGCATCTTCCGTTTAAATATGAGGTACGGGGGAAGCTTGTGCCTACTGTAATTACTCGAATCTAACGCGCACCTTTTTTCCAGTTTAGCGAGTTCATAAATCCCATGAGCGTTAAAATCGAGTGCGAAAAAAAAATTAATACGGTCATTTTATTGCCATCGACATTTCCAAAATGGCCACCCCCTACGTGCTTCGGCATGGCGCGTCGGCCATTTCTGCCTATGTGTTTCACATGTGCGGCACTTCGTACGTGTGCTGAGGAGTTCGTCATCTTGTAGTTCATTAGCATCGACAGCGTGGAAGGGCCAACTCCAGAAACTCTACGAGTGCACCACGATGCCCCTTTTAAAAGAAAAGTCATCGCATGTGCCGAAACAGACTGAAATCGGGCCGCATTGCGGTCGTTCAGAGTTCCCAAAACGTGCGTGTGGGACTGGCGGAAACAAAAGCAGAAGATTGTCAAAGATTCATGCAAAGGCTTCAGTGGACCACAGCAGGGTAGGTTTCCGCAAATTGAAGAGCTGCTTGCCGAGTATGTGCTTGAGCAGCAAGCGGCACAGCGGCCCGTGACGACAGAACTGCTCTAAGTGCGGGCTATGCAGTTAGCTTTAGAAAAAGGGCTAACGCGGAGCCATTTCAAAGCGAGCAGGTGCTGGCTAACTAACTTTATGAAGAGGAAAGGCTTATCCCTCCGAAAGCGAACGGGCATGTGCCAAAACTTGCCGGAGGAGTACGAAGAAAAGCTACACAGTTTTCAGAGGTTCGCCCTAAACTTGCGGCACAACAACGGCTACCTGCTTGGGCAAATTGGGAATGCCAATTAGACGCCTCTTTACTTCGACATGCCTGGCACCACAACCGTCGAGAAGAAGGGGGCGAAGCAAGTTCGCATGCTGACATCGGGCCACGGTAAAACAAGAGTGACGGCAATGCTCCGTTGCACGTCAAATAGGCACAGCTTGCTCCGTACCTCATATTTTAACAGAAGATGTTTCCGAAAGGAGTCGTTTTTCAGAGTAGTGTGATCGTGCGGGCCAATGAGAAAAATGGGTGTGCATTGCAATTGATGTCTTAATATTTTTTTTTTTACGTCGTGAAAACCAAGTGCGCGTTACAATCGAGGGCATGGTAGAATAGAGTAAATACGGTATCTGACGTGCAACGAAGCATTGCCGTCACCGTCAACGGAGCATTGCATGCGATTTATGAACTCGCTTAACCGGAAAAAAGGTGCGCGTTAGATTCGAGTAATTACGGTAAATCTCAGGGGGTCAACAAAATATTCGCATCATCCTAAACTTGTAACACCAGAAAACATGAAAAATTAGTGTACGACAAAAGAAAGTTGGTGCACCTTTTGATTCATTGTTTCTCAGGACCGCAGTGATGTCATGAACAGCTCTGAATGATTGCCAGAGAAGTTATTAGATGTCAACGACCACAGTTGTACTCTTAGATATATAGTGCATGCGTGCATGAGTAAATAATGAACAAGATGTCTTGTCACAGTGGTGCTCTTAGATATATGGTGCATCCGTGCGTGAGTAAATTATGAACCATATGTTTTGTGACCAGACCACTAGTCGCACCTTCCTAGTCTTACTACGTTTTTCGCATGACCACATAGCAACTGCGGCAAAAGTGACTTAAGAAGCACTTCGCATGCGATAGATGAAGGCCAGAAAATTTTCGAACTGCTGTTCTTCACTGCTGTTATTTTTTTACGGTGGTGGTATTGGGGTGCTTTTCGGGGGATTAACGGCCTTTCCCAGAGAGAAAATTGGGGAGGTGCTCAAAATTTGGGAATCGCCCGTGCCAATTGGAGTTGTCAGGTCTGTGCGTACGTTGCGAGGCCTTGCTCCTTCATCAAGACCACCCGCTTCATCTCTTAGGGTCCTTCTTCCCCTTACATAGGATTTCATGATGAAGCTGCAGCACCAAATCCCAAATGTCAGTCATGTTTTATAAGGCATCTGATTGAAAGGATATGGCTTGTATTGATGTGGCAGGCACGTGTTAACACAGTATAGCGATGCTGCTGCCTCTTGCAAAAGCACGCATTGACACAATGGGGGGTGGGGGGGAGAAATCCAAGATACAAGTGCACAATCTCAGAGTCAATGATGCACAGCTGGTGGTCGCACAGCGTGCATGTTTGCGCGTGAATGCCATGTCTTCCACGATAGCTTGGGCAGCCCCTGTTCGTACCTGGGCACGAGTGCATGTTCGTATCAAATGTCGCGGGGCGAAAATCGGTTCGCAGCAACCGTGCTCCAATACATTGCACGCTAATGGACCTTGGCTCAGACCAGAGAAAAATTCATATCACCGTAAAATTCGTACAAGCTGAGATTTTATCATTGAGGTTTCACTGTATTTATCTCGTATTGCTATTGCGATAGTAAAACCTCGTTAATATGCACTTGATTTAAACGTACCGATGATTTAAACATAATGGTGACAAGTCCTTGACAAAGTCGCCATAAAAGTACTCAATGAATGCACTTGCCAACTTCTTGAAGGAGCACTGACATCAAATTTACTCATGCCAAGATTTTTAGGTCAACTAATAGCTATCGACCCCTTAGTAGCGATTCGCGACCTGAAATGCATCTGAGTGACAAATGACTATCTGTAATATTGATTAATATATTCGCTATCAAACGCGGTTCAAAATGGGAGCGAAGCCCACCAAATTGTAGTGCTGGCAGCACTACCTCACGACCACGTCGAGGCCACTGCACAGCTGATGCCGCTTTCACAAAAAATAATGATGTCACACTGGTGTTTCGTCTGCTAGGAGCGCACGTGCAGTCAGCACAGCTATGTCTCTGAAGGCGTAGTCATGCCTCTGTTGCCAACATCGCCGTCCCCGCTGTCGTCTCGGTCAACATCGGCAAGTGATGATGACAGCGACCTTGAATTGCGTATCGCTGCGATTCGAGACGATCCTTGCATGACAAGCTTTGCGTTAAGTGCAATGTATTTATCAGTCCCGGCCGCACTGTCAGAGCTCAGGAACACGAACTACGCACCTCATGTCACGGACATTTGGAGAGTGAATCGCTGCTTTCAGCTGCAGCAGGGCACACGGTAGGAATAGCCCCGACCTCGAGAAGAGGCCTCGTACTCCCAGTGAAACCCAACTGGTTCGCCAACACAGGATTTACCCTGTAGCAGCTCGCTGCAAAGTGAAAGGAGGCAAGCGTGCGAGGAAGGCAAGCGTGCCAGGGGTGGGCAGAAAGTTATGTGGGCAGATGAGATCAAGAAGTTTGAGAGATAACCCGGCCCTATCAAATGGAGGACTGGACGGATTAGCAAAACATGGGCGAGGCCTTTGCCCAGCGGTTGGTGTAGTCAACATGATGCTGATGATTATTTCCATCTTACAGATTATGCGGCACTCACCGTCCTCTGACACTAGGGTGAACTCAAGGGTGCCGCTCGTCCGGATGGTGGTGTCCAAGTCTATAGGGATGCCCACTTCTCGGTAGTCTTCAACATGGAACTCGGGCCCTACACATTTGCAAGTGAAGTGATGGTTAGAATAAACCGCCTGTAGCATTGTTTCCAACACACATCAGCAACATAAATTGAGTAGAATTTATAGTAAAAGCATGTTAATTTGAATTTGACAGAACTAGAAAAAGGGCTTGAACTAAATCAATGCTGAATCATCAAAAGTATCAAGCAAACAATAAACTAATGCCTATTACTCAATACATTTTCATGTTTTGTTTAGAACTTGCTGGGCGAGTTGGTGCATATTGGCACATAGGGGGTAACTACGCTCCACACATACAAATAAGACACACACAAGTGTAGAGGAAGACTTGTCGAAGCACTTCTTCAAATCTTCGAACCTGGTCTCTTATATCTTCGAACCTGTGCGTCCCCCCCCCCCCCCCTCCTCTGTAATCCGTGTTCCGGAAATCATCGCCGACATTGTGATGGCGAAGTGCTGCTTGTACCTATATAGATTCTACATAAAGAAAAATAGGTCCCCAATGAAGTGCTGTGTTTATACAGAGGATTTAATCCTTCCTGGAAACATGGAAAGACAAGTCTGCACAAACACACGTGATGAGATAAGGGACCAGGTTTGAAGATTTTAAGAGGTGCTTCGACATGTCTGCCTCTACACCTGTGTGTGTGTCTACGTGTGTAGCGCAGTTATACATCTTTGTGTTAACATTTTCATTTTCTTGATGAGTACATACATTCTATACCTGCTGTGCTAAAAACAAAGTAGAATTCCCAATTCTCTTCATCCTGCTAGTTGTTTTACAATGCAACCACAGCACAAGACTCCTTTGTGTTGAACAATGCATGCTCACCAGGAACAAAGAACACATACAAATCATCGAATTTTGCAAATTACCCAGCGTCAAATATAGCAAGCTTTCACTGTAATTAAAACAACAAAGTGCACAATTTTTTTTGTCAAAGAACAACTGTGTACAGTTGCCGACCGATTTTTCGGACCTGGCGGGGACCACAAAATAGTCTGAAAAATCGGAACAGTCTGACAAAATGGTCCAACCGTGAAAATGAAGTTTATTTGGATTAGAAAAGCCTACAAAAAAAAAAAAAAAACTCTCAGTAATGCCATGGTTCATGCTGTTTTTGAGGAGGAGAAAATTTAGTTCTATCTGGGCTACAGTAACATCGTTGGCAAGCCCGTTGGCAAGCCCTTTGGCAAGCCCTTTGGCCGCCGACCGTTGCAGGTGGCAAAGTTGGTGGCTCCATGGAACAAAGCAAACAAAACTTGATGTCGGTCACAAAAAGATGTATGTAACGTCTTGCCTGTTTGGTGGGATTTACACAATGTGGGCTTCTTTTACCTGCACTGACACCGCACAGTACGTTAGCCCCCAGTATTTCGCGAACATTAAAATGCTACCACGAACAGCAGCGAGCATGTGAAGCACACGACGACTCAAACACACTTGGCACACCCCTAACACGACCATGTGGGTAATGACGACCAGAAAAACAAAGGCCTGGAAAATAAAAACCTACGGCGTATTAATGATGATGATATTGCTGTCTGAAAAGGAAAGTTTTGCCGTTTTGCTAGCAAAGAAAGATCAGACATGGCCTCGGAAACCGGAAGATAATGTGCGCTTCCAATCTTAGAGGCCACACAAATGGCCACTGCAAGACAAACTCGACCAAGCCAACAAAAAAAATCCAACATGGCCGTTTTCAAAATCGAGCGGCATAGCTCAAAACAAAGGATTTAGTGCGGAAAAGTTTTCGACCATACATTCGTCCAAAAAATTGGAGACAAAAGTGCACTAGTGCATTGGGAACCTTGACAATGCATTTTTGAAGTCTGAAATATCCAACTAGTTCGAATTTTTGGATTTAGAAAAATCTGTCAACAACTGTATTATATTATAACCTAATCTGTAATAACAACATTTAGTGGCCCCAAGACGGCGTGACAAGTTGCTAGGCACCTCTCATGCATTCTCAGTGGACTCTTCTTACATTTAAGAGAAGTTAAAGAGACAAGACGAAACTCTCCAAGACTTACCCAATGAGCGTAGCAAGCCCTTGCGCTTCTTGAGCATTTGGTCGAGCACTTCTCGCAATGTGGCATCTAGACTGGGAATCTGGACTTTCGTGAAACCATCCTTGGTGTGGCTGCAAGAAGAACCAGGAGTCAAGAAGCTATATTTAAATGCATAAGATTCACAGAAAAAATCACGTAATGATTGTGTTCTGCATCTGCACCTTGACTGGACAAGTACTGATTGCCTACCGCAATACACAACATAGCAGCAACGTTTTTTTTTCGTTTCCCGATCTTTGTTCCATGCGCATAATTTTCTTTATAGTTCAGCAATTTTGTTCAACAGTCTTGACTAGCTGATCAACTTCGTTTGCGTGTACCTGGATCATTTGTAGCCACCATAGCCGCAAAAGATGATTCCATGTGCAAAATACAATTCCCCACTCACCAAAACCCTTCTGCCTGGGAATGTCAGGCAGTAGTGAAGAACGCAGAGAGAAAATAGAGAGAGAGAGAGAGAGTGGTTTAGAGAAAGAGCAAAAAAAGGACACTATTTTCTGTCTCCTGTAGTGAGGGCACGGCTTAGCACTTTTGGGACAGGGAAGAGAAGTAAAGATGAGAAAACAGAAAGGAGTCGGAGGCGTGTAAAGATAGTGTCTAGTCAATGCAGATGGGAGCATGAAGGCAAAGCGTTTGGTTACAGGTCTGCAAGAACCACAACCTTGAGGAACGCTTGCTAGGCCAGTATCTTTGACCGTGCAAGGAAAAAGGAGTCCTTCGCAGTATGTGTGTAGCCTATGTTTCTAAATGTTGTAGTGGCAAATTGGAACAGAAAAATGCTAACCCCAAGTAAACACATTAAAGCATCAGTAATGATGATGACAATGTGTGCACTGCACTGGCGATTCTGTGTCATGACATTTTGAATGCTTGTCCCTCATGACACTGCCGTCATTTCAACAAGATTGCGTTGAAGAGCTCGTTTCGCTGATATTCTGGTGTTGTTGTCAGTGGCTGGGAGTGAAAAATCAGTGTTGTCCACAAACAAAATTTTAAGATGCAAATAAAGAAATAGTAAAGAAAACTTTGGTTCTAAAGGGAATGAAACCCAGATAGTCTGCGTGGCAAGCAGGTGTTCTACCACAGAGCCACACCATTGCTTGGAACCGCGTCTAAAAACCCCAATAGGAATGACTTGTAATGTGATGAGTGTCCTCAATGCATGTACTGTTGTGTGGCAGAAGTGTAGAATCATGCCAGGCGTTAAAGGGGCTCTGAAACACTTTTTTAAGTAACTACGAAATTATTTCGCTGGAAAAGCGTATTTCTTCACAAGTTCAACGCCGCAAAAATTTTAATAATCCGTCCAGTACGAGCACAGTTACAAAGATTTGTCACACCCTGCAATCGCATTCTCTCTCCTCTCATCCCGAGCAAACGCTGGGAGCTAAGCAGAAAGGGATGAGAGGGGCAAAAACGTCACGCGTGCCTTGTGACCTTGAGCACTTTTTTGCTTTTTTTCCCCATTGAATACGCAACTTTTCCAGTGCGATCACTCGTGCACGCGTGGACAAGTGACGGCCCCTGGCGGCGATTTCTGCAACAACCGAGTGTGCCATGTTCAAATCAGCCAATGGCTGACAGATGGGTCATCTACGTGTGATTTTTGGGCATATTCCCTGATTTGTCAAGGAAAGATAAAGTAATTTTTAGCTGACTTTCATACTTTATTTGCGAATTCCAGGCCGCATGCTGCTGCACTATAACATTTCGCTCGCGGGTTTTCGGAAGCCTCTACTACCGATTGGCAGCGTTTTCTGGCCATGCTAAAAAAATATTGCAGGGCCCCTTCAAGACATGTGACTAGCGCATCGAGTGAGGGGATTTTAGGTCCACCCATTACCATCACTTAGACATTTTAAATTATCATCATCATCAAAAGCATCACCAAAGTGAGCAGCTGCTCAGGTTAGCGTGTTGCCTTAAGAAAGGGAAAATGGGTACTTAACTTATTCTCATGAGGAAGAATGAGGGCTTAGAGCGCACTTAGCAACCATACATGTAGTAGGTAGTATAGGATAGTTTGAAATGGCTAATGTTGCACGAACGAACCTTCCTTCCTTTGTACCGCAGTTTAGGTGTACGTACCCCCAAGAAGCCATGTGAGGCTACTGATTCAGATGTCGATGCTAACAGAACCTGATTATGCTATCACGTTTTAACTCTTGAGGCAAAGATTAAGTGCCCTTCAACTTTGTCTCTGGGATCCCCTATAGTGTTAAAAAAAAAAAAGGCAGCCTAGCATTGGTAGGCCAAAATAAATGCACATGTATATCTTCCAATTTTTGAATATAAAGATTTGTAAAAACCTTGGGAGCATGACAGGCGAGGGGACAATAGCATGCTCCATTAGATGCAGCAAACAAGTACTAACACCCAACCTGAACACACTAGCAAGAAATGTTGCTTTTAGATCACAGTAACTTATCTCGATCATTTCACTGCCACTGACAGGACTTTCTGAAAAGGTGCGCTGCAACTCTTTCTGACCATAGTCAAAAAATACTGCTGATCTGTAGTCAAGGCTCCAGTGAACATGTGCACTGATTGTCAGTACTAGATAAGTGACAATTCATGTCACTTATTTGAACAAATTCAAAAATCCCTTGCTCTCTCCTTGGCAAGCAACACGGTTGGCAGGAGCAAGCGATCACAACAAGTACAGGCCGCAGTTATGAATGGTGCAGCAGCACATAATTTTGGGGGTCCCATGCTGCGTTGATTGATTGATTGATATGTGGGGTTTAACGTCCCAAAACCACCATATGATTATGAGAGACGCCGTAGTGGAGGGCTCCGAAAATTTCGACCACCTGGGGTTCTTTAATGTGCACCCAAATCTGAGCACACGGGCCTACAACATTTCCGCCTCCATCGGAAATGCAGCCGCCGCAGCCGGGATTCGATCCCGCGACCTGCGGGTCAGCAGCCGAGTACCTTAGCCACTAGACCACCGCGGCGGGGCTCCCATGCTGCGTTGCATAAATATTATTGCTGCCCATAAGGTGCAGTGATATGCCGATGCTGTGCATATTTTAACCGTAGTAGTGTCCAACATGATAGTAAAACAACAAAAAAAAAGTGCTCACGGCAGTGACACACGGTAGCTTGACTTTTGGGCGGCGCATCCCCTCCTTACCATCCCTCCCACCCCTTTGTAGCTTTGAGAGCGCTTGTGATGATTAAAAGTAAGAGAGGGTGTTTATGATAGCTCTGCTTATGCTTGATGGATATGAAATAACTTTTGCAGCTGTAGACTTGTGATGGAAGTGGGACCACTAGTAAGGTCAATGATAACTGTGTGGCCCCTTAGAGCTAGTGCCACAAGATGGTGCTGCAGGTACCGTCACATTTTTTTTTTTTTTTTTTTGCATACTTACTCTTGTAAACTCACATTGGTTCACCTATCAAGAGCTTTAAGATGGTCCTGTACACAAAACTTACTTTTTAAACACTTTTTAAATACCAGATGCAATCTTTCTGATGTCGTAGCATGAGATTCATTTCGTAGACTTCACAAAAGTTCAGCAAAGTTTACAGGTATGTAGAGTTCTTGGCTACTGAAACTCCACTCGGAGCATGTGGCTGCCTGCACATATTGTGCTACAGCCAAGTGCTTGAGAAAGCGAGCTCCTAAACTGAGGGCAATGATGCAATATGACCGCATGCAGTCAACAGTTGTTCAATGTGCCTTTGAAGGCTGTGTAGGCGGATCACTGGTTGTGCTACACGAAAGATTGGATTGCACATTTTGCATAATGAAGCACAAGGCCACCATGAGTTGCAAGCCACAAGGACAAATATAACACAGAAAAGAACGAAAGCACAGACAGGCTTTTCCTTTCCTCGCTTTCCCCCTCACCATATAGCGAAATTCCTTGTCTCACTTTCATGAGTGCTCACCACCTGAGTGAAAAACACCTGCAGCCGCCCAATGTATTATGTTTCGATCTCTGAGCGCTGCACTTGCGCAGTGTGGTAATGTTACGATGGCCACTTACAGTCGATACTATCTGTGCAAAAACGTTTTTCTTAGTGTATTTCTATCCCACCTGCCAGAGCTATTGATCTGGTAATGATATGTAAAGTTCCTTGCCAGGAATTGTTCACTATGCATAATGACAAATAGTTATCCACCTGGGTCCTTTTCACCATTAAGCGCATACGTTACGACCGTTTATCTACAGGCAGTCACCAGCCAAGTGGGATGATGGACATATAATTACTCAAGATGGACGACCACTGGAAACTGACATGAATCAAAAGCTTCAAAAATTCAGCTCCAGGTCTTTTTTCTAGGAACCTATGAAGTAGACTTTTCCTACTGAAACATAGAAAACTTTACTGAAAAAAATTTGGGTTTTATTAAAGCCTCGTGCTGCAAATTACTTTGTTATAGCATACTGAAAAGCGACTTCACACAAACTGTTGTTCAATGCCAATGGACTTCGCAATGGTCCATTGCCACAAGGATTTTAATTAGGAGTTTGCGAATATTCGACATTTCGAATATTTCTTGCATAGTGCTTGCTACTCTATTCGACTCGCACTGCAATTTTTACTCTTCGAACTCCCCAAAGACAAATGCAATCAACGTCCGATTGAAAGTGACCTCTTCAAATTTTTATTATGCTCGAGCTCATTCCATTCTCGTATTGCGGCAAAGCTGCCTTTCAAGCTCCGCTACAGTCGCAAATGTATTGAGTCGGGAAAACTCTGGTTTCATGAGTCAATATATTTGCGACTGTAGTGTAGCTTGAAAGGCAACTTTGCTGCAATATGAGAACGTAATTATGTTCTTTGGTTCGCAATTAAGTTCCTTCCCAATAAAGTTTTCTCTTCCTTCCTTCCTTCTGGTTCCAACATGAAGATTACAAATGTCGCAGAGGTGGGGGCTCAATGAATGCTGTTTCCGACCTGAAATTTGGGCAGGAAGTCCGAAAAATCGGATGCCAAAAATTTTTAGCATCCAAAGTTTTAAATGTTATTGTATGTTGATGTCTACGAGAAAGATTTGGAACTCTTAACTCGGAAGGAGCACAACCTTGCCTGCCACAGCAGTTAGGCTACCACAGAGGTTGAAAGAGAAGGAGAGGCTGGGGAAATAGAATCTTTGCCTTTTAGGTGCAAAGAGTTCTCTGCAACTCCTTTGCTGCACCAAATCATGTACATGCCTCCTTCTTGATAAGACAACTATGAAATACCATCCCGCCAGCGCTTCATTTACCTTGCGAAAAGAAAAACTTTCATGTTGCTATATCTTATAAGAATATGCTCATAAATCCTCTCCAACTTTTCTTTCCCACATTTTTGTGTCGAACAATTAGAAAAATATTTTAGAAATATTCAGAAAATATTATATTAGATTCGCACTCACACTCCAATTTTCGAATTTGCTTCGCACCTGAAATTTCGCTATTCACACAGCTCTAATCTTTATCTGCCGCATGGGTCAACCCTTAGCACACAATTTTTACTTTTCGTTTCCAGTTTATCTGACTGCCTGTGTATCAATGTAACTGCATGAGGTATTTGCACTGATAACTGTGTTCCTGACAGCTTCTATTCTGATGTCATGGCCTACGTCGTGATCAACTACAACGTTAAACAAGCTCTGCTGTTGCAATGTGTTTCTCAGCGCAGTTATTGGACAAAATAATGAAGCATGACTGGCAGTTCAAAGCCTAACAGAAAAAAATGTGACGGGAATATACCAATAAAGTTCTACTGTACAATTGTACAGTCTACTTGTGACAAATAAGTACAGCGCATCTATGAGAGTTGCCCATCTCTTGTGTGCTGTTGTCATGGCCCTCGTTGATAAAGCCAGCACAAGAGCAATTAGTGCTAGCTCTGTGATGCATATGCTCGGATAATGTTCTGAAAGAGTGCAAGCTCAAGAGTGTTTCGGCAACTGCACCGCTGCATTGGCAAAACAACTCACAAGGTGAGCAGAGGTCCTGTGGGAAAATCTTCCCTCTCCACCTCGGCCAAGGCCAGGTACGGGAACTCAAACTTTGTCACAGGTTCCCGAGGGTCCAGTGGCGGGAAGTCCTCATCAATTTCTCCACTTTCTTCCGCAATCCTCAAGCAGTACTGAGACACACTAGGCCTGCACAGATGCCCATGTGTGGTGAACACATTACGCACCACAGAGACGTCAGCATCAAGTAAAGTCCCACAACGCCACTCTCGTGGCAGTCTGGCATTATACTGCAATCTGAAGTTCATTAATTTACATTATTTACCCTGCTCTCTTACATTTGTGGGCAAGGTCACAAATGAATTTGTTTCAGGTGTGGCTACTGGTGATTCTGAATAGGATTACACCTATTATTGATAGTTGAGTCACTGTCAAACTATTCCCAGTATGCTATCAATAACCGACTATTATTCATTGTACTTACCAGTTTAAATGCCACACTTTTTCAAGAAAGTGACAGAGCGGTAAAGGCCTAGACATATCGATAAATCCCTGCTCTGCAATTTCATGCACCACTGTAAAAGCTTGTTAATATGTACATATTAAAAAGATACAGTGTAATTATCCACAAACCACAAATTACTACAAGGCTTTTTTTTTTATTTGTGGCAAAGTGTGGAAAAAATTCTGCTTTATCATAGGGCCATGCAATAGTACAGTGGTGATACCAAGGAGAGTTTAGAAACTGTGAATGACATAGAACATGGATCCACAGCAGCTAATTTGCCCAGCCTGTACATTAATTGATTGATTTGTGGGGTTTAACGTCCCAAAACCACTATTTGATTATGAGAGACGCCATAGTGGAGGGCTCCGGAAATTTTGACCACCTGGGGTTCTTTAACGTGCACCCAAATCAGCCTGTACATTAAGAATACGTAGTGCCTTGCCGGACATGTCACTGGTTGGATAGTTGAAGATGGGGTCGTAGCCAGAATTTAGTTTTTTGCTATACTTTATGTATGTTCATTTGTTCATATGTGTGTGTATATATACACAAGCAAAATTGAAAATTTGGGGTAGGGGTTGAACCCTGACTACCTATATGTTTCAAGGCTATCATTGTAGTGAGCTTGTTAGTTACAAGTAGTAGCACTTGTACGTTCATCAGTATCCACAAAACCTGCCTCCATGCACTCTGGATGCTTCTTGGATAGGCACCGATGTAGTAAAAGTTGGAGATTAATTGGTTGACTTGACAGTGGTCACATACTAGTACAGCAAGACTGGTGCAGAATCAAGCAAACCTACTGCAAGTGATTTCTGGAGAATGCCAAACCCAAGGATGCAGGCATAAAAATGCATGAAGGCAGGTACCTACGTCAGCAAGCATGGGTTTACTGAAGGGCTTTGTCATACAAGTTTAGAAGACTACAACACCAATAGGGCACTTGAGCTGCATTACCACCGTTTCCCCCATTCTCAAAGTCGGTCTCTCGCGCCTCACAGCACAAGAGATATTCTTGAACTTGTAGAGATTGAAGATAACCACCCTCATCCACAGTGGCGGTGATAACAAGGAGTGATGAGCGCCACTGAGCATGTGCCTTCATGAGCGAATGCTTTCTAAGCAAGCACAACGAACAGCCCAGGAGAGTGGTCGGTAAATGTTTGTCGGGAGTGCTCATCTATGCGCGTGCGTGCGGTCCGCTGGGGCCAGGAATAGTGGAACTGGTGCATAAGTCGTTTGTGGAAGTTGTTTTCGTGCCACGTTATGTCAATAAACTTTTCACTAATGAATCATTTTTGTTTCTTCACCATCTACAAGTGCCCTCTTCTTGGAGTGGACAACGCAGCCCCAGTGAACTTATGATGTCAGGGCATGGCAATCAGACACTCGGTAAATTGCAGTCAGAAAAGACAATCGCGGGGTGTTGTGTTACTGTAACACAACAGCACTGTGATCTGCAAGCTTCTTACTTATGGTAGTTTGCACTTTTTTGTTATTATCTGAAAAAGAAAAACTACCAGAAAGCAAACTTTCTAAAGCCACAGCACATAAAGCTCATTGGAACATCAACACAACATTTCTACATTGGATAGTTTCAATGATCGATTCAAAGCAGCCGCCAAAATCCTAGAGAGAGCACTCATATCTTATGAAGGTGAACCTACCAGCAAAAAGCGGAAACACTCTGAAGGGAGCATGTTAGAAGTCTGCAAACGTGTGGCCCAAACTGGTACTGCAATCTAACACAAAATACAATGAATGTGACATGGGCATGTGACAGCCTAATCTGCCTGAATCAGCACATTTACAAGTAGGAGCAATCTAGCGCCGAAAGAGTTTATCCAAAAACACATGTGAAAAGCAAGATCCTTCTGCAATGAAATTTGGATTCATCACCATAAGGCAAAAACAAATACATGCTGTAGACCGACCAGTGAAAAACATGATAAATATGATATCAATTGCAAATAAATTTCTGGCATTCCTAGAGCAGTCCAGTACCATGTACAGTGCTTATTGCTGCATACGAATGATAAATAATGAAAGTCCAGTTTTTGCTAAACCTTAGACCCTTCTACCTGGCTACATTTTACCCAACTGCCCACAATCAGTCCCCCTCGGTGATGTATCACATTGTAATGACAGAAACCTAGCTACAGGTTGAAGAATTCAACCTTGTGATAACCTGTTGGCTGCTGACCGAGGGTAGCATGTACACATGTTGTACCAGACTACGCAGTTCATGATTTTTGTGAGAAATAGTGTTGTTGCTTCATGTGTTTAAGTACAAGATTATTGCAAACATAACTTGAGTCAAAGTGACTCATTTGCACCACGCTGTTGGCACAGGGCATATATATGTCTGTTCAGAGAGAGTCCATCGACACTAAACAGTAATGGCACAAAAATTAAGACACATTTTGCATCCTAGAAGCACACTGAAAAAACTACATGCAAACTGCAGCATTAATCAGTTCAAGTAAGAGCAGCAATATTTTTTTAACTCCCCCTAACAGCACGTGGAAAGAACGTTTTCACTGCAAGTGTTTCTGCATAAAAATGGCAAGACATAAAAGATACAAGAAAGTACACCCCTTAGCAACACCACACGGAATGCCAAATTCATTCTAAAACAATGATTACTAGTGATCTACGAAACTACCCAACCAAACAAGTACTACTAGTATTCTAGCAAAACATTCATCACATTGGCCACTTGTGCAATGCGTAAAGCCAATATGATCATCTGCATTAGGCCAATATGACCTCTTGAAAGAAATCTAGGCGTTCCCTTTCATACTGCTAGTAAATGGGATTAGATTTGTCGAGTATGAAAGCTAACTATGACACTGTAATAGATGAGAAACAACCAGCTACCTAAATCAACACAAAAAAAGGGGACACACACATACCTGAGTTTTGGTGAACGCCCCTCGTTGGTGTAGTGCCAACATACAAGGCCTATGAGGTCCTGGATTCGGGCACCAGGCAATGCCGACACCACAATGGGGAATCCCCGCTCCTCCGGAGGCAGCATGCTCATGAAGATGTTGATTCGACGGTGTGCTGGCTCGCTCACCTGAGCAACCATTGTGCATATGTACAACTGTGTCACAGCCTCATGTCGCGTGTACAATTCCACCATCATAGCTGCCAACAGATGAACCTTGACATTGGTGAAAATTCCTTGCCCATGACACCAAAATAGAAGGAGCATTTCTGTTTCAAAGGATTGGACTGGGCACACACTTTTCATGGGATAGATAAGTGGGCACACATTTGCCACTTGACACGGCGCACAAGCAGCAGCAGCAACCATGAAGCTGCAAAGGCAAAGAATGAACGTACTGTGCTAATGCCCCGGTGCCATCTTCAATAGCACTGCAGTTGTGGATTTGACCTGTTTCAGAATTATGTGTAAACTTACTTCAGAAGACTTTCAGATCTAAGGTCGGGAATTGATTACAAAAACTGTTCCATAAACTGATTCTACTTTCAGTAAAAATTGACGAAACATGCAAAAAAAAAGCCGAAGAACAAGTTTGTACACAGTTGAACCCAACTACCGTATTTACTCGCGTAATCCTCGCACTCGCATAATTCTCGCACCCCCCACATCGCCCAAGAAAAACACGATTTTTTTTCCTCGAGTAATTATCGCACCCCCAAAAACTGCCGCAATAATGTCATCTGCTCGTTCCAACCACTGATGATGATAGCGTGCACATCTGGCGCCATCTCTTGAGCATCAAGCGTACTATTGCACGAAGAATCATTCCAATCCAAGCTAAGCCGAAGTGGCCAGTGCACGTTGCGGCGTGTTTTGTATGTTGTGTCGGTAATCCTGGCACGTTATGGGGCGACACTGAAGCTACATGGCTGCTTCAAGTTGCAAGTGATAGATCATGCACTAAACAACCGCGACAGGGCCGCCGGTAGGCCCTTCGGAGCCTATGTGTTTTGTGTTCGCTATTGGTGACGGCAGCTGAAAGCCACCAAGGCACGTTGGGCCTGCCGTGTGCCTAAAACTGGGATTGATGATAAACTTTATTTCTTCAGAAGGAAACTGCGGACAATTCTGTTAAATAGCCATCAGCCCAATACTGACGTCCTACGCTTACCTTTTGAGGGCTCCTGTTGAGCAACGAATGCTACTGCCACGCCCGCAACGCCCACAAGCTTTGCGTATGGTATTCTAATTCTCAGCTATTTGCTTCCACTTTTTGTGTCTCAAATAAATCTTGCCTTGTGTTGAACCTCTGCTTTTATTGTTGAGGTAAGTTCTAATTAGTACTTCTTAAAGCTTGATGTAAGTTGCTAGTGTGAGAATCCAGATCTGAGGGCCACTTTGTTTTCTTTTTCGCTCTCTGCGCTTTCGTGGAAAGCTTTCCCCGCATAATTCTCGCACCCCCAACTTTGCATCGATTTTTCGGCAAAAAAAGTGTGAGGATTATGCGAGTAAATACGGTATATCGAACTCCGGTACACTGAATGATCCTTTATATTCAACTATTTTCAATCACAACAACACTATAACATAAGTGCATGGGAAAACCTAAAGCACCATCGAACTGAAACAGCCGGATAACTTCATATATTGACCATCGGGCAGCAGAAAACACCCAAACAAGCTGGCTTTCCCTATGATGAGGTTGGTCTTTTCCCACGCAAGACATTTCAATGACTGTTTGGGAGACCAAGTGGCGTGATCAGGAGGACACTGGGCGGGACAAGCAGAGACTACTGCTTGGCATCACGTGCTTTCTGCACTTACAATCGCTCACTGTTGTGCCGCTGCTTCATGATGACGCTGCGGGTAGCTGTTCAATTTACCGCTCGTTTATTGCTGTGATCGATACCGTAAAACAGAAGAACCTGCTATTCAAACAAGATGTTCAAACATAAGCAAAAGAACTTCCTTGCCTTACATCACTACTGTGTACAGGTACCGATATGCAGGCTCAGTGAGATGTTGAAGAACAAGGCCAACATTAGGACTAAGGCAGACTTTACACTTCTGGCGCCAGACGAGTACGCACGGCTGAGCATAACTTTGAGGCGCCATCGCTATCAATATCACATTTTTTCCCGTATAACTCACCCCTGCACATAGCTGCACTCGCTACGAACGAGTCTTCCTAAGATTATGATCTAGCAGTGCCGTGAAGCCAACTCGAACATGTAAATTAGCACCAAATATACAGCAATCTCATTAAATGTCTTATATCGAATTATTCAGTATATAAAAAAAACTTAGCTTTTCCACGAGCTCGATTCATGTGGGTGCAACTGTACATAGATTTTAAAAAGTTTGGAACTGTTGGAAAGTATGCATACGAGTACACAGGCTTCTGAAGCTGTTCTAAAGGTGTAATTTTCAAAAGAAGAAAAAAGTCCAAAAGAAAGAGGGAAGATATTTGAAGCTTGTTGCACTACTACTGTGTATTTATATGCTGCTTACATATATACACACAAATTTACTATTGTACTCCCAGGTAATATGAAGGTATTTTTTACACCAATTATTTTAGACATAATCCAAGGCTTTTTTTTTTTTTTTTCAAGAGACACTTTGCAGTAATACACAGTTTTTGTGGCACTTTATAAAAATCATCTTTTCAAGAATAAAACAATAATAATATCTTTGGTATTACGTTCCAAAACCAAGATATGATTATGAGAGACACCGTAGAGAAGGACACCGAAAATTTTGACCATGTGGCATTCTTCGCCATCGCACAGTACATGGGCCGCTAACATTTTGCCTCTATCAAAATGCAATCGCTGTAGTCGGGATCGAACCCGCAACATTTGGGTCAGCAGCCGATCACCTTAGCCACTGCTCCGCTGTGGCAGACCAAGAATAAAATGAACAAAACCTTATCTGAAGAACAACAGCTACATGCTGTGAAATGACTCCTTTAAAGACGCACTGCAATATTTTTTGAACACGATCGAAAAATGCTGCTGATTACAAGTCCAGGCTCCTGAGAACATAGGAGCCATACATACAGCGCAGCACGCAGCCTAGAAACTATAACTATTCTAGAAGTTAGCTAGAAATTACTCTCTTCTGTTGACAAATGATGCCACAAGCACAAATGACTGCACCATAAACCCAATGTCGGTGGCTATTGGCTGATTTGAGCATCAGGAGCTGCATAGTTACCACTACCACTATGGCATGCTACACCATGCCCCCGCGCTCGCTCACGATCACGCTAAAAGTAAGAAGTGTGTTTGAAGAAAAGAAATGCCCAAAGTCATAATGCACGCTCACGAATAGACTCGCCCCCTTGTCATCCCCTTTCTTGTACTTGACGAATTTTAAATATTTTTGTGGTAGTCAATTAGTGAGACAATTAACTCCCTCAATGAAGCCATTCAATGCTTTCTTAAAAAAGGTGCTGCAGGGATGTTTTAAAGTGAGATGTAACGGACATTTCCTGTGGTTGAACGAACACTATGACAAAGTGCCAAGCAAAATAAATTCTGAAGAAAATGTTTTTAGATATTGCTTTTGCAAAAGATTTACCTTTAACGAATAACCTCATTGTTCCTGACTCTCGAGGATTGCATTAGTGTGTGAGTGCCAGGTATCCCAAGGCAGAAAATTTGACAACTCATTCAAGAAAGCCGTTTTTACTTTATTGTCACAAGGCTCTAGTCTAAAATTTACTACAAATTTCAAGCTCTCAAAAGAATTAAGTAAAGGTTGGTCAAGTTAAAAAGAAAGTTTCACTATAGATTGTGAAATTTCTTAACCACACAAAAGTTAATCAAATTTATGAATGCTCTGTGAATTTAATGAGCTGACTGACCAATCTCATAAATAATGGTAAAGAACAATCTCTCACTTGAACATCGTCAGTGACTTGACAAAACTCAAAGCTGACGATAGTTATAGCGCGAGAACAAAACGACGACACAGAGACAAGAAGGACACGGAAGACACGAGCGCTCGTGTCTTCCGTGTCCTTCTTGTCTCTGTGTCGTCGTTTTGTTCTCGCGCTATAACTATCGTCATGCCATACCAACTAGCCCAAGCTGCCACACTTCAAAGCTGACCTTCTATTTGCACATCACTGATCATGTAGTGATGCACCACTATGAAAAATGCATTGCCAGGGTGTTTGAAATGCCAATTTTCTATTTTCAATAATTTACGAATTCATGAAATAAATGCTGCTTTGCAGAGAAAACATTGATATATTTTAATCCCAGCATACAAGTACAATAGGGCTGAAGTTATGGTCACAAGCATGCTTACAGAGGCATTTTTAATGCATATGTCCCCCGTGTGCTGCCTGGGTTTAATTAACCCTTTCGCTGCCAAACAAATAAAGAATGTGCTAAAATTAGTAAAAATTTCTTTTTCACTCAATCTTTTGTTCTTTTTTAAAATTAAAATGGTACAATTATCTAAATTCAATGGGGCTCTCTTATTTTACTTATCACATAAGAAAAGTCAACTCAAAGGTGACTGTACCACATGGCAATATAATGAATAACGGAAGCCAAGACACAAATGACCCAACAAAGACAAGTATGGTCATCTAGTGTCAAGAAACACAATTATCACTGCTAGTATAGTCTTCACTGGTTCCATGTAGGACCAATTTTTTTTTTCTTTTCAAGACAAATATACCAGTTGTCATGATATGGAACAAAATGGCCAACGATGATTGTACTCGTTATCCGAGTATAATATAGCCATTGATGATGAATACAGTCATCATCGGCCACTTTGTTACAGCTCATGATGACTATCTTTATCAACGGCAGCAGCAGGGTAAATAAACTTGCTCATCTGCTGCGGCTTGCCAATGAAACCACACAGCAATGAAACAGATGCAACGCTACAACTGTTCTCACTGACACGTCGCATGTATAAAGCAGTGTAGCACAATTTTGCTAGTCTGATAAAATTAGAGTTTCCAAATATTGCAGCTGTCCGCTTTCTGCCTAGAGTGGCTAAGAACATCTCAACCTCACTTGTAAGTGATAAGGATTGTCCAATTCAAATAGCGAGATAATACAGAGCGTCCGCATATGTGAACACTTTCTTTTTTTTTTATCGTGACTTTAAAATCCACGTAACATAAAACTTCGCAAACACTCGTTTGGTCCCATATAGCCTAACTGGCTAGTAGCGAGACCAATGGTGTGACATGCCTACATAATTGCAGCACAAGTGGTTACAACAGTGACAAAGGGCAACAAATTGGATACAAATATTTAAAAAACACATGAAAACAGGGAATTACAGTAGACAAAATAACCACTTAGACAGTCGTAACACTTAAAAACTGTACATAAGGTACTTCATGGCCACACAAAAATTATTCGCCTCTTCCAAATTAGTTGGTATGGCATCCCAAATTAGAGCGCCGTGAAATTTTATGGACCTTCCGGCGGTAGGCGTTTCTGGCAATCAGTGAATTTGTACAGCGTGCAGGTAACGTAAAGATGCTTAAAGTAGTACTGACATGACTTCTAAATATTTTTGGGTTGCTGTTCGAAATAAAAACGCAGATGTAGAGAACCCTAAAATAAAGTGTCGCAATGGTTGAGAACGCATTGAATATATTTTTAATACCGCTACCATAAAACAGCAATTTATGTTTCCTTATAGAAGGGGTGGCTTCGCAGTGACATATTGAGAAGAGGTCTGATGCCACAAGAGGACTGTAACACGTGACATACAAGCAACAGCTGCCCATTTGCTGTGAATCGCGCATGGTTCACGAGAACAACGATGGGTTAATTGTCATCCAGAGACTCCGACGTCTGATATTTTGGCAATTTAGGCTGCATACAGGACACCGTAAACCCAGCGAACCGTGTTGACTTGTCATGATAATGCTTATCGCGGTGGGGCTGGCGTGCAGATGCTGGGTGACGAAAACGTTAAAATCGAAGTAATATATTTTACACGTGCTGTCTGGCTCCAATACGTGGAGAGCATTCAATCAGTTTATTATCATGTCATAAAAGGATGTTACAGGGAGTAAAACATACAGAAGAGGGTCCCAAAGTACAAGACTGCAACGGGACCCTCGGAGCATTGATAGCACATACCAAGGAAATGAAAGATGTCCCCACTTGGGTGCCTTAAAATAGTGTCTTTACTTCTTTAAAAGGAATGGGTCATCATGCTTTATTATTCTGTGCACTATATCAGCAACACTGGAGATGTTAACTAAGTCCAGCGGTAGTATACGCACATGTTGGAACAGTTGTTTTGTATTATCAGTCTTGCTTAATACTTTAATGATCCCAATTGCCACTTTTTTTAAGGTGATTAATACATTTCAAATGAGTTTTATATTCAGGTACAGCCCCATGATGCTATGCAGTAGCTCAAGTGACTGTGCATAAATAAGAAACACAGGAAGCGCAGAACTGTTGCGCCAGAGCATTCACGGGCTTTTAGTAGCATACGACACCGATATGCTAGCTCGGAGCCCGTCTTTTCTATGTGAGATTTCTCATTCATATCCGAATCAAACATGACTCCTAAGCACTTAGACAAGACTACTCACTATACTAGCGCAGTATCTAGAACTAAGTTGAGCCTTGGAAAAACTAGTTACTACATACTAGAATTAAAGGCTATTTAGTTTTAGTCTGTGTGAATATTTAGGTGGTTTTGCTTAAACCCCAAATGTACTCTCTGTAATTCTTCTTTAATTTTATCTTCGATATCCCTTAAGGTGTCGCCAACAGAAATTGATGCCGCATCATCTGCATACACTAAGGCTTCCGAGTAGAAGAGGACAGAGGGGAAATCATTAACATACAGTGAATAAGAAGAATGTGTCCAATAACTGAGCCTTGTGATACCCCACAAACCACTGATTGACTAGAGGACAAGACAGTATTCATTACTACTCGTTGCTGTCGGTCGGCGAAATGACATTTAAGAAGCTGGTGAATTTTGCCTCAGGAGCCATAGTCATGAAGCTTACTCAACATGAATTGAAAGCTCTCCTTGTATCTAGGGAGACTACGACGGCAATCGTATTGTCGTTCAAGGCTTTGTTGACTTGTTGGCTTAATACCAAAACTGCAGTATATTTACATCTGTGAGCTCGGAAACCCAGCTGCTTTGAGCAAATTATGTTAAGTTTGGATGCACATCATGTTATCTATGCTGATAGAATTTTTTCAAACATTGCCATAAACTTTACAGAGATATTTGTCTGTAACTAGAGGCACTTGAACGGTCTGTCTCCATCTTTGCATACAGGAATGACTTTACCGCAGTCCTGCCAGTGTTCAAACATACAACAGCAAATAGTCTGTCCCAATGCCTATTTTATGTTTTAGTTTAACTGCAAAAGTCCTGAGCCCATCCGCTTTAGTGGCATCTAGCTTTCCGACTATTTACATGATATGGGACATGCCTATCTCAAACATGGCAAAGCTATCAGAAACCGGTTCTTAGGACTAGTTATTAAGTAAGAGCAAGATACATTGTGCATAAGATGAACTGAGGATTCCAGATAATCACTGTGCCTTCCCTTAACCTCAACGTGCCGTCTATGGCTTGTGGGGAAACACAGGTGCCCATGGTTCCTTTCCCTTTTACCACAACCTAGTTGCAAGGACATGTCTGTCCCTTAGAGAAACGAGACACTGAAGCCGCTTTCGAAGGGACTTGTCACCCCGCGGCCTGCGCACGCTATTCCCTTTCTCGGCTCGTGAAACAGGTCACCCTCCCTCAGCGAGGGAACCATCCCTGGTTGGGGGAATCGGGAGGCTAGTTCACATTGCGCTAAGGGTCATTTTAATGTTGTATTGCTAAACACAAACAGGTTAATGCCACCTGTTATTTGGTAAAGCTATATGTCTGCTGTATTTGTGTACGTTTGATGAGTCATTATTGCCTTAATTTCTTTCACGTGGTGTATGAGGATGCGTGCAAGCACATTGCTTACTTGAGGATATTTTCCCATTATAACAACACCTGCTGCAAGTGTTGAAATAAACTTCCGAGTTTCCCCACCTTGACTGTGTGAAGTTCGCTGGATCCACAGGTCCTGGGCCTATCAAAGAACTAACTACGTGACATGCGATATACCAGCTGAGATCCGTGCAAGTTCTGGCCAATTTTAAAAATAATCTTGAAATTTCACTTGGGCATGGTTCACCACTAAGGTGTCAAGCTTCACCACTTTTACAGACAAATGTGCTAACTGTGCCACTAGAACCAATTTAAGCCAATTGGTTCAAGTGGTGCAGTATGCCAATTGTACCAATTAACATACAGCTAATCAGCCCAATTGGTTATGTACTGACCACACCATTTGACCCAATTGGAATTCAACCAATTGGTCCAATAGGAATACACTCAATTGGCTCGATTGATTATATGCTACTGCATCATTTGACCCAATTGGCTAATAACCAATTGGCCCAATCAGTCCAAATGGCCCATGGTATACTAATTTATAAATAAAACCAATTGAAACCAAGTTGAAATTTTCCAATGGGTTCCAATCGTTTTTTTTTAACTGGATCGGATACCACCTGTGAGACAAGGACTTAGACGACCCAATGTGTAAGCATCTACCCTTTGTTATCTTCCTAGAGCGAACAGTCCCTCTACGTGACATTTACGCGTTATTGCTAGCGTAGCATTAAAGTATTGTTTTGTTGACCTAGCCTGTTGCCTTATTTGGCCGAACCAGTGTAGCTGCGATGACTCGCGATACAGAAAGGGGACACTAATCGTGCACGGTACGATTGTGTGCGACTAAAACATTGGCTTCTGAGTCAGCCGTACATAAGGCGGACCCCCTCAGGCTCTAGCTGACCACTTTGGTGAAGGCCCTACTATGTCTGAAGGCTTGGCTGTGTTCCGAGACTGAAGTCAAAAGTACTGCATTTCTTTGCTCTGAAAACAAAGACACATTGTGCATGTGCTCTAAGCCTACAATTTGATTCATATGAAAAAATGGAACACGACTTACAGCAGAATAATTAAATATTTAATTACATGCTAATTAGGAATGATTAATCTCACACAAAGTGACATTACTTCCCTTTTTTTTGTAGCAATGTCGTAGTGGCTGTCTTAGAATTATGTTGTGCGAATTTGACACATTTGCTGATGGTTCGCACATGAAGCAGTCTCAAGATAGTCACAAGTAAGAATGACTTTCTGCACACCTGACACCAGCTGCCAAAGTACTAGTTAGATATTATTTAGTGTAGGCCTGGCACCCTCGCACTGCATGCAGGAGCCACTGGAAAGCGCTACCTCTCTTGCCTAGTTCTAAGTCTCTCTCTGCCACAGTCTCATATTTGCCCACCCTGGCAGGAGCAAGCCTCAACATGCTATCGATCTTTTATTGCTGGTAATCTTTCACTCCCCAATTCGAGCAGTGATGACTGCTCGAAGCACAAGTATCCTGCCGTTGATTCCCGATGCGTATGCTCACCTTGCCATCGAAGCGCGTGTACTCGTTGAACGGGTTGTTGGGCGCCACGGGAAACTGCTCCAGCTGTCGCGTCAGCGCCGAACTTCTTTTCGTGGCTTCGCCGTCTGCGGGGGGAGACCACTTGCCGGAACGGCGGCCAACGTCCTTGCGGGGAAAATAGGCGTCCAATTCCGAGGCTGCAGTGGCGAAAGCATTTCCCGCGTCAGAATCCGCATCCGCCACCTCCCCCCTCTCCTTTCTTCACAAAAAAGAGAGATATAAACATCCTGAGCGCGTGCCCAATGGGTCCGTTACGCTCACCGAAATCAGTGCTATTTTTTTTTAGATTTTTGTCTTCAGAAACTGGAGGCGAGGTAAGCTCGAGTCATATCCTCTCACAGCAAGGCCCTACTGTTACAATTTCAGGGCAGGAATTTTGCTCCGTTATATACATGCATCTGCAGCAGCACACGTACTTCAATCAACGTATTTTAGCAACTTTTCTGAATGACAATGGTGAGGGTACTCAGTGTGTGTGCGAATATACGCCAGAGATTCTGGGGCGGTGCCAGCACGGGCGGGGGTGGGGGCGGTGGACTGCTTTCCTTCCTTTCCAGTGCAAAAATCCTGCCTGGCACCTCCACTGCAGTAACTTAACCAAATATCTACTGCCCAAACCTGTTGGCGCAGTTCTTACACGCAACTGCTGACTGACTTTACGCACAGCTACAAATAAGCGGAAAGTAAACGCAACTCTGTGAAAAAAAAATATTATTGCTAGAGATCAGCTTTGGTGCTCGGGCTTAATGGCATAGCCAGGGGGTGCCACTCCCCCTCCACGCTTCATGAAGAAAATTTCTGCCTGCGCCCCTGTTGGGCTGATCCCATAGGCTGCTTATGTGAATGCGATCTCGTGCTGCTGGACTCACTGATCACCTCTCTCCCTTCAGCGTGACAAGACCATACCATTTGTTTCTGCTGAGACAAGAAGTGCTGACTTACGAGTGTACAGAGGTTTGGAGACATCAGCTACTTTCATGGGAATGGCTCAATTGCGAAAGTGTTTCCTGTGCGCCAATCCTGTGCTCTACTGAACTTTGCCCTGAACTAAGACATATGACATTGTGCAGTGTTACACAGCGATACCTTTGACCGGGGCGAGGAGAGAAACGCCTTTTTTTTTTTCGTCTTGCTCAATCACCGACGTCTTTGGTGGTACAAAAAAAAAAAAAAACGGCAAGTCGCTACAACGTGCTAAAAAGCTTGACTACTATTTTCAATAGCAGTTATTTGGCAGGGGAAGTAATGAATAGACTCGTAACGAGTAGCACGTACCGTCTTAAATACCTCGTTTCTCTCTCAGTTTCTAGTGCGGCATGTGCTCGAAAGGAAGCGATAGAAAAACAAAAGCCATAACATTCAATGCTCCCCGAACCACGCTTTCGTACACGGCACAGAAGCCCTGCGGGAAAAGCAACAGCGCGCACGCCCGCACGACACAGGAGCCGCCGCGGCTGCTGGCACCTTATTTATCGCGGGCAACGAAAGCCTTCGTCTCCGGGTGACTGGGAGCGCGTTCTCCGGTGGCCGATGCGGCACACGCGTAGCAGCGAACGGCGAAGAATCGCGCAGGCGGCCACAGAAAGCCACCAATGAAGCAAAACGAAACGGGATAGAAAAACAGGGCCTTTGGACACCACGCGGAATATGGAGAGGGGGGAGGTGTTGAGCTCCCGTTTCTTTGGTATACGGTCGCCGCGGCAAAGCTCGGCAGAGGGGAGGGAGAAGTAGCGGGGGTACCGTGAGGGTGTCCAAATTGGCGCCATTTGTCAGCGCAACGCGAGACGCTCGTCGTCTCTCGTTTCCCGTCGCCGCCGTGGCTCGGCCGTAATTACCGGCGGCTCGGGTGCGCGCCGGCAGCTATCCGGACGCCAGTCAATTAGCCTGCCAAGGATACACTAACGCCCGGCCGCAGCCAACCAGAGAGAGCCGCAGGAGGACGCCTTACAACCTCCGCTGGCTGTAGTACGCTACGAGCGCACCGAGCGACCACAAGAAAGGCTCAGCGGCGGGGGAGAGAGAGAAAGCAAATAAACAAAAAGGGAACGCATCCCTCCACTTTTCGCGCACAGCGCAGCAAAACAAGGGCAGACGCGTGCACGAGGAAGAACAGACAAATATGGCCGCGGATGGGACCCAAGGAGCCGGATGACCCTACCGCAGCCATGTGTGCCGCCAACACTGAGACAGTGCCAGTGGTCGTGGAAAGTCGAGCGGCGGTTCGAAACCACGGAGAAAGAACACGACAGAAAGCCTACTTGGAGATGACGTGCGATAGTTGCCCGATTTCGAGGTGCGAACTGTAACGGATGGGTCTTGCTCGCCTGTAAACGAGACCTTCAATTCTTTCTACCCACCGCTGGCAGCGTGCGCCATACAGATCAGCCGCACAACGGGATGCGAAATGCAACGTTGCAATTTCGTTGCCGTACTGCGAAACTGTGTGGCTCATTTTTGGAGACGGTTCGCACACCAAAGTAGCAATCATTAAAGGCGCCACGTAATGGAGTTCAAGCTATCGCGTAAAGGGGAGACGCGAAGGCACAAAGCTACAGCCCGGCATTTGCACGGCCGAGCCGAGTTAGGCGCTCAACAAATGACACGATGCGATGCTCTGACCGAGGAGCACACGCGAAATGTAATTTAACCGATGCGTTTTGTGTACCCCAGCGCAGCTGAGAGTTGGCCACGCGTACCGCGTTTATTCTGTAATCGTTCCGCGTTGCACTGCCACTCGTCGCCACACTGGTCAAACAATCCTAAAAAAAATACTTGGCACGTAAAGGCGTAGAGAGGGAGAGAAGACATGCACGTCAAACACTAGAGAGTGTCGCGTTTGGTGACAAGTGTTGTCTCAGCAAATAAAAAGGAATAAGGGAGATATGCAAAAACTTGGAGCACACTTGAGCCCCGTCTCCAAAGCAGCACACCGTAATCGGGCCCGGTGCGAATCGCCTTCAGCCGCGCCACAAGGGAAAGAACGTTCTTGCATGCGCGTATACCGTCGGCCCTTTTACACTATCCTCGAATGACTACTGCAAGTACAGTGGCTAAGTGCCAACTGCGCCATAATTCACAAACCTATATCAAAGACAAAACCCATTAACGGAACCATATCTCTTAGTTTTTTTTTTTCCTTCAAAGAAGCGATGTCTCAATGAAATGCACCACTAAAAGATATCAGGAACATCTCTGGCAGAGGTATAGTATAAAGCCAGAAAACGCGAACCGCGCGCACACACACACACAGATATATAGTCGCACACTTCCATAAAGTAAAAAAAAAAAGTCGTTGTCGCTTGAACTACCCATGTTCACTGGTGAAGTCGAAGTGCCGCTCTTTTTCTGTCGTTGCTCTCGACTAAGTTTCCACCGGAGTAACAATAGTGTGCACCTGCCTTTATTATTATATTTTATTATTTTTTTTCGTATTTTCATCGCATGTTAACTCCCCCGTGGAGGAGCCGCATGGCACGCCGCACTTCTCTGTCGCAGCAAGTGTTGGCGATTTAACATAGCTTGAGAGCAAGGCCGGCACTACGGCAGTCGACTTGAGAGGTAGCGTTCCACGCATGCAGGTCATGAAAAGGAATTTCGTGACGTGACTCAACAAGGAGGCGGCGAGAAGCATGCTGTCACTGTTCGAGGAAATAAGGACTCACAGGGGCCTTTATTTGCGCCGTTCTCCCCTTCAACAACAGCTCTATCTCTCACTAAAACCCAGGCTCACTTGTCCACGTCCCCTGCAGCGCTGCACAGCGCTAAGGTTTTCAGGCTGTCGGCGAGTCCTGCCACATTGGCCATCTGCTCTTCGTGACAGTCAGTGCCAGAACGCGCGGCTGGCTGAGCAAAGATCACGGTCACGAGCACTACATACACTGCACAGATAACAAAGAACAGCTGTTGATTTCAAGCACCAGTGCAGCAACACATGCCTAGAGGCATGCAACTAAAATACATGGCCGGAGACTACCAATTGATTGATATGTGGGGTTTAACGTCCCAAAACCACTATATGATTATGAGAGACGCCGTAGTGGAGGGCTCCGAAAATTCAGACCACCTGGGGTTCTTTAACGTGCACCCAAATCTGAGCACACGGGCCTACAACATTTCCACCTCCATCGGAAATGCAGCCGGGATTCGAACCCGCGCCCTGTGGGTCAGCAGCCGAGTACCTTAGCCACTGGACCACCGCGGCGGGGCGGAGGCTACCAATTGAATGTCACTTTGTTCCGACGGCAAAGATGTACTGTGTGAAATGATGGATACTTCGGCTTTCCTGCTCACCACCGCAGCATTTATGGACGAAAGTTCCCGTTAAAACAAAAATTGCTGCGTAGGCCCCGATATGGGTCACGCACAAGTTTATTATACAGCCGCCAAAGAACCGCTACAACGACTGTATCACGTATAACATGCTACCTGCCATTGGTGAAACTCTGTATTAGGTAGTTTACTGAAAACAAAAATGGCCGAAACTCTTTACTAAGGTTTCTTATATAAACTTTTATTGTGACTCGAGCAAACGGGCATAAAATTTAGGTATCAATTTTGCGAGGTGTATATACTCCGCGTGCCAAAATGAATCGCTGAAATCAAGAGCAATGAATCGGAGAAACACAGAAAGCGCTGCGTAAAACAGACTCGCAGTGCTTAAGCCTTCACCCAACCGGAAAAGCTGTCCGATAAAACCATACCAGCAAACTCTTGCTTTTGGCCAGTAATATGAGCACGCAACGAGGACCATACGTTAAAAAGCCAGAACAAAACAAACAGCGACTGAAAACGCTGTTTATTTGTGATAAGATTTACGTTAAACTTGGTGCAATCAATGTACAGACACGTCAAAGTCGAGCGGCTATTGATGAAGGACATCGCAGCGCTAGGGTGCCACTTGGAGCAAAGCGTGGTTTTTAAATGCGACTTAAAGCAGCGGTTAGCCGGCGCATTTCAAGGACAACACATGCCCGCCAGAGAACGCCGAACACAACACTTAGCACACATGCTCCTAACCCATCAACATAATTTGCGGCATACACTAGCGCAGACGACATGCGTCGGTGGACGCGTCATTGATACGTTCAGTCAATTGAGGTATGTGTGTCTTTTGTGCGCGGCAAATTTCCCCATGAATAGATAGTCGGCGCACCTAACTTTCAAATCTACTGAAGTAACGTGATTTCGAATGCACCAAGCTGAAGAAGCCCAACAACAACAAAAAAAAGTCCCAGCAATGACGTCAGTTTCATTACAGACACATAAGCTCTAAGAAAACCTGGTAAGAGACCTAAAATGAAGCGGTTCTCATCTTTTTAATAAACGTTCTGGTGGACCGACGCGAACGATTTCAAGCCCACATTCCAACAACAATAGGTAGAGCTTGACGTCTCCAAACCGTGACATTATGATGAGAGACACCGCAGTGGGGGGCTCCGTCAATTTCGGTCACCTGGTGTTCCTTAACGCGCATTTAAATTTGAGTAACGCGGGCCTCAAGCATTTTGTCAAAACGCGCCCGGGATTCGATCCCGCGACCTTCGGGTCAGCAGTGAAGCACCGTTATAATCACCAAACCAGCTCGGCGAGTCACACGCGCGTTTTATTCGGTCATTCATTGATTTACTGCTTCGAATCTTCGAACCACCGAGGAACGGAAACGTCAGAAATTGATTAAAAAACTAAATAATAAAAGCGCAATGGAAAAAGGCTAATACAAGCTACCCGAGCGGAAAATATAATATATCGGTTCGCGTATCTGCGATACGCAGTGTACGTCTCATCCACCAGACAAAACCAAACCTGTCGGCCGTATCCAACGGGGTTGAAAAGTTTGTCCAGCCACGAAACTTGTCTCGGCCCGATCCAGCAACTCAACAATTGACGGAACAATAATAATAATATAAAAAAAAACTCGCTCGCTAGAGAGAGTTCGGACAGTGTCTCCTCCTCCTCTCTTTCTCATTTTCCCCGTTCCCCACATTGTTTCCCACAATGGAGGAAAGTTTCTTTCAAGCTCGACGACTCAGTCGGCAAAGGGCGCAAAGATAACTCATTATGCGACACAACGGTGAACGCGCGGTAGTCCGCTACCCAAGAACAAACACGGCGCGACGCGTTAAAAGGAGCGGAAATTCTTTCGACGCGTTCAAAAAAAAAAAAAAAAAAAAAGAACTATAACGACCGCGAAAGTGGACGAGGTGGAAGGGTGTGTCAAAGTGATTAAAGCGGGCGGAAACAAGATAATGCGTACTCATGCCAGAAAGAAAAAAAAAAGGAGGGGGCCGACCGAGCGACGCCACGGGAAAGTTTTTTTGACGGCGTCAGCCGAGTTCCGAAAAGTGACGCGGGACTGACCACGCAAAGACGTGAAGACAGGTCGAAGTAAAATAAATGATAAGAAAAAACACAGACAGAGAGGAGACCGCCAAGTATCGTGCTTCCGGGCAAAGCAGCTAATTGCGATACACACGCAACAAACGAAGCTCGTCGCACTTTTTTGGAATGAGAATTAAACGGTGATTTCACCGGACGGCAGGCTACGTGAGAAGTGTTCAGAAGAAGAAAAAAAAAAACTATACTTGAGTAAGCGGAACGCAGAAAACCGAAACACCGGAAAGAAGTAGGGAGAAACACACACAAAAAAAAGTTTATGTTATGAAACATAACCCGAACTTCATCTCAGATTCGTCCTGAGTAGCGGCAACCGCGGGCCGTTGGCACCCAGCGGCTACGCCAAACTTTCAGACAAAACGCCGCCGACACTAACAAACTACACGACGAAGCGACTGACCCCCGTATTCTAGAACGTCTCTTCACTCAACGCTTCACCTTCACTTGAGAAAGCCGATGGGAGCGCCTTCTCTAGGCACAGCAACTCACTGCATACCACCGATAATCTGCTGCGATTCTTGAGTAGCGCAGTGTCATTTTCAGCCGAGTGGTGGCGCAGTGCTCAACTCTGTCACGGGCGAACTGCACCCGCAGGCGCTGCTATTAAATAATTAGTCGAACGTGTCAGCGCACGTTCCGGAATGTGGTTTCCAGTATTCGCGAATAAAGGCACTCGATTCAACTAAACGCAGTTCTACATTACAAAACCGGCGACGGTATTCGAGACAGTTCAGATAAATGATGGCGCTTTTTGCGCCGAGCGATTATCTAGAGAGAGAGAGAGAGAGGAAAAAAATACACCGTATCAGCGTAATGACAAAACTATGCAGAACGATTGTGGGGAGTTTTAAACATGCCCGCTCGACAAGCGCCGAATCTGGATAGAGTAGTTAAGCAGACACAAGAGCTGACGCGTAATCTGTAACACACGAGTTGCAAGTTGGCGCTTGCCTTCACTGTCCTGAACATGGTTCAATAATATTTCTCGGGTTTTACACCCCCCCCCCCTCAAACCACGAATCAGGGACACCATCGCGAAGAGCTCCGCAAAATTTGACCATCAGGTCCTTTTCGCTTGCGTGCAGCTAAATCTATAGATACACGGGCCACGAGCCTTCGCCTGAACAAGGTCTGCGCTCACTAAACCTGCAACTATAAACCATCTAGACCAGCCACACGTTCTGCCGAAGTTTACAAATCCCAGCGCAATGTTGCCGAATCTGCCTGAAATCTCACATCACTTACAAACAAACTAACTTTGGCTCGGGGTCTCCAGACAGTCGCTGCAAGAGACCCTGCAGTAGTGTAAAGCTGCGCATCACGTGGTCAGAAAACTGAGCCGGCAAAAATTTCTACTAAATAACTAAACTGTATTACAAATTGCAGCTAGCGGAAAGTAATGACATCACGCTACCATTACTTTAGAATCCTAACGAAATTATTTTGGAATTAATTTTAAAAATAATTCATAATTCGCGCACAGCACAAGTACACTTGTAAATATGTACACATACATTGTAGTCGCGGGTATCTTTGATCGACTTCCCACGCTTAAAACTTGGCCCTCAGATTAACTTGTCTGCTATTCCTATTTCATTTTTAGTTATTCTTTAATGCCACAAGACAAGCGGACACGCTATACTTCAGTGAAAAGTAGTTCAGAAAGTAATGCATAATTTTCTTGAAATCACTTAGTCGAAGCAGTTGATCACGTTACTAAATTACGAACCCACACAAGTGATTAATCAAGTTATACTCATTGCAGCAAATAATTACAGCCCAGTCTATCACGAACGCAACGGGCGACCGCGTGTACTGAAACTCGGCCTCTGTGACTAATTCTGCGCGCAGAGGAATGAAAAGGTATGGATAGAGGTCAGACTGACCGCTGAGTTCTTTGGCAGGCTGGTCCTTCCAGACGACGTGACGCAGCTTCCCTTGCAGCCGACGCTCCTTTTTCAGCCGTTCCAGTCGCTGGGCCGTGTTAGAGCGCCTGTGGTGACATTGGAAAGAAATACACGCGCAAAAATGTCGGACGGCATACGTAACTCAAAGCCTAAAACATGTTGCTAAAAAAAAAAAAAGGGGCATCGCACACGCAGAGTATCAACCGATCTATGGCACTTTCTTCGACCTTTCTTTTGGTATCGATAGCGCTAACGTCACGAGTCGACAGGGACAGCAACACGACAACAGGCCGTATCGTTCTTGCGATTACGAACTGGCGGATAAGTAAATGAAAAAAAAAGGAGGGGAGAAAACAAAGACTAGTCTCGCCACAGTCGTATGGCCACCTTCCGTGGCTGAGGAAAAGCGGTCGCTTATTATGTATAAGCACCACGCTAGAACAACTTGGGATGATTTCGTTCCCGGCCAAGACATGGAATTCGAAATTGTGATTTATAGAAAGCTCAGGGGCCTAGCCAGAAATACTAATTTCAAAGAAGGCACGGGGAGGGGGGGATGAGCTCACTACCACTACGTAGTTTTGATGATGATGATGATAATGCGGTAGTAGCCTGTAGTTTATTGTAAATGCACGAGTAAATCCAAGTAATGTGGGAACTGAATGTTGAAATGAGAATGAATAGGACAAATGAGGACTAAAACGCAGCTACCTTGTATTGTACACATCCAGACTACACAATGACATGCCGGGATGTGATGCATCGCGCAGAAACAAGCTCGTGATTGGTGGCGTCAGACTGGGGGGCAACCGCTGAGCGCTTGCACGACGAACATCGTTTCTGTGCGATGCATAGCCGCACTGAAGAGGTTATCACGCTATAGCGTTGTTCTTATAGGAGCCCTGCCAGGCACTTGAGATGGCGGACATGTTAGTGAAGCGATCGGCCAATAGTAGGCCAACAGCACTTAGAAAGAAACAAACAAACAAAAAAGGCTTATTCAGACCTGGAAGGGATGACGATTGCAGCAGTCGAACACACCCATACAAAGATTTAGTACCGGGGCCCTCGAGCAGCTTCCGCACAATCATTAATGGTTGCTGGCGAATTTAGCAGAAAAGTGTGCAGAGTACAAAATAACGCAAATAGCCTGGGTACGCAAGCCGCCTGAGGACCCCGACACTGAACCTCCCTCGTATGGCAGTTTCAACGTACTTCAAAATTTGGTTGAAGCGCACCGAAAAACAGAGGAGAATCAGGCGCTGGGCTGGTAAGCGCTGTCCTGCATGTCCGCTGCTTCTTCTAGTCAGTGTTTTTCGGTGCGCTCCAAAAAAAAAAAAAAAAAAAAACATGAACGTAAACCAACCGGGCCAATTTGCTGAAATATATCTAAAACATAACTTTTTTTTTTTCGTCCCGCTCCGCTCACGTACGCAAAAGACGAAAGCCCAGACGCGAACCTGTGCTCGGAAACCGCTCCAAAATAGAGCTGGCTGAGCGGAGCAGCCCAGGGAAACGAGAACGAGGTAAAGACTCGGTACCGATAGCGCGGCTGTGAATACGACGATTTGTCGACGAATAAGGAAATTGCACGTTAAGAGTCTTCGAGTGCGCGCCCTCGCAGTTCCTTGTGGCAGTGCACCTTTGCTCAGAACCCCCCCCCCCCCCCCCCACACGTCTTTGATGTCGTCATAACAAAACTTGCAACAATAAAAAAAATATATAGCTCAGGCATGCTATATATGTATATTTCAAGATGCAGCTTTGTCCTCCCCTACAAGACAGCGCGGTAAGCAGTCGAACGCTCGCCTCAAAATTCTTTCTCCGTTCAACCACTTGAGTTCTGAAGAGCAGAAAGAGTTGTGCTAAAACGGTCTTCTCTTCGATAAAAAGAGCGCCGGTCTTTTCAACTCGTCGGGAAGCGAAGCACGCGCACGCTCTGTTCCCAGCAACGTTGAGTCGTTTACGCTATAGCTATAGGACCCGCGGCTTTAGCGTGCTTTGGGTCAGAGTCAAAGCACACGAAGCCTTAAGGGTGGGACACGCTGAGCTACGCAGATCGCAAATAAAAAAAAAAAAAACGCTAAAGGTTGACCTCGCACACACTATAGTTGCGCAAGGGCGCGACTGTTAGTTGCGACGGCCCCGGCGTCACTCCGATGAGCGCGGCAGCTGCATTTGCCGTAGTAATGTGGAGAACAAAGTCTCTGTTACAAGCTAAGAGGAAAATGTCGGCAGCGCCCACTGCTGTCCTTCCCACAGAGAGAATACGCAAAATAGGTGCTCCATAAATTAGTGACGTCAAGCGCCACTAGAGTGTTTCAGATAGTTTACTTTTCCACAGGGACACGCCTATGTCACTGCTTTTATTAAAACAGACCTGTTAAACTTTGTTAGGGATTCTGACATCGCTGCTCCGCCGAGCTTGCCATTCCGTGTAGCAATGACGAATCTTTGAAGGTACAGAAACAATTATTTGGTTTAGATTGATAAACTGCACTTGGAGGAGTCTAATGTCGTAGGTTTCAGTGTCATAAGTTCCAATGTCATAGGTTCATTATTAGGGGAGAAAGTCAAGATTGAAGTTTCATTCTTCCAATTTCGCGCCGAAATCTCCTCGTATGACGTAACAAATCTTGAAATGTATTTTTCATGTTTTCGCGACATTGGCTCGATGAAACGTTTTGAAACTTCGTATGCTATAGGCCTATGGCACCCACAGATAACAATGTACTTCATTTTTATCGTGTAGAAGCTATGTACAGAACCCAGTAGACACCGTCAAAATTTAATACGTCACGGTTTTTGGTGTGGGAACCTCACGGTGGCGTCTCCACCCACATTTTCTTTTCGCGCGCTTTCTCGCTTATAAGCGCGAGGTCGCTGTAAGAGTGGTGTTTTCGGGGTTGTGAAATTGTACTTTACTAATGCGCGAAATGCCACTTTCCCCTTTTGTGCCCCTTTAACGCTCAATATGCGTAGTACTTGCATCAGGCGCCAGCTTACAGTTCGAGCGAAAACCGGCTAGCACGACTCTTTCTGCTGAAGCACCGCCGTTCTGTGGGCGGAGCTTACATTTCTGCTTAGGTTGTAAACGAGCTTAAGTGCGTCCTGAAACACCAGAACCATTATAATTTGTAGGCATCTTAAGGTTGGGCTTTGACCAAGAAACGATCGCGAGAAACCAACCTTTTGATTTAGGTCTAAAATTTGTACATGCAATACACATCTCTAGCCTGCAAGATATAATAGTGGATTCGGCACCACGAGTTATTCGAACTCAACGTCCAACCGACCATTCTCTCCCCTTCACGCACCAATCGTTCTCGTATCGCCGAGGCGCCACGCGATGCGTTCTGCGTCGGAAAATTGTTGTCCCAGAAAAAAAAAAAAGCGCAGTCAAACGGCTGTCGGGAAAGCTTGCTGCACCCAATTTGCCTCTCGTCAAGTGCCGCGCATGTGTTATACCCGTTGAAAAGTACGAGTTCATTCCAGAAAAGCGTTTGCTGTCATTTCACCCCTCACCGCAAGAGGTTGATCAGTTAGCTTCGCTAATCCCGTCAACGAGCTTCTCACTGAACGAATGTCGGTTAGATCAAGCATTCGAATCGGCTCATTTTTATGAGCCGATTCGAATGCGACGCAAGAGCAACATTGATTACGACCTTTCGCGGTAGCGTATGCCACTGTAGCGCTTTTTGTGTGTGTGTGTGTGTGGGGGGGGGGGTATATACGAATGAGTCCGTGAATAGATGAACGAGTGTAAAACACACAAAACAAGTGTCAGAACTAAGTCGGATCGCTGCTTCAAACTACTCAGTTTCACTCTTATCGCACCGACAGTTAGACCCATGCGTCTTGGGAACTTTTAGCGCTTGCGGCCGATTTGATAGGCGAGCGAAAACTACGTTCCTAGGGATGTTTCAACAAATGCACGCATATACCACAGATAATCCTCGCGCACTCAGGACCAGCGCCACATTGCAGCAGCTACATCAAAAATCTACGCGGAGCTTGCGGCGCAGGGTGAAGTGTCCGAGCTGCTGTCATTTGACCGGAACAACAGAACAGTAAAGGAGTTCGAATTGCTCTGTTAGCGCTGTTAGTTGCGCATCGCACATTGAGGAATTGATTGATATGTGGGGTTTAACGTCCCAAAACCACCATATGATTATGAGAGACGCCGTAGTGGAGGGCTCCGGAAATTTTGACCACCTGGGGTTCTTTAACGTGCACACAAATCTGAGCACACGGGCCTACAACATTTCCGCCTCCATCGGAAATGCCACATTGAGGAATTCGGGAAACAATTTAATTTAGGGTTTGAAAGTCTATATATGCGCACCTATTTCCTCCGCTATTCTACGTTGCACTTCTACATACACTTATAATATATACCGAGAACAAAAGAAATCAAAGATAAGCTTCCTGAAAGGCAGCTAGTGCAGTGGGCGATAGCCTACTAAACAGCGGGCGCAAATGGCCTGCTTATATCCCAACGGGAGTTCAGGGCCTGCGCTGCAGCAATGTAAAATTTTCCGAAGTCCCTTTCTACGCAGAAGGAGTAGCATTCCCTATACCTTGAGTCCCGCAATTTGTGTGCTGAAAAGCAGGCTAAACAGCACTATACGCTGTGCAGCTGACTATTGAACACTGCTATTGTGCAATGGCACCGCGCCTAGAGCCGGTCGTCAACAGAACGATGCACGCCATTTCAATAACGTCTGGGAGCGTTCATTTCAGAAAACGGGATCAAACTTGCATACGACGAGGAATCGGTTACGAGTTTATATCGCTACGCTTGCGCGGATCCGCGCCAGTGTACTCGCCCGCGGGCGGCATCGTTGTTGTTTCAGCGTTACCTGCGGTGAGCTCCGATGAACTCCATCTCGGAGACGATGTCGTAGGACTGGCTCATCTCTTGTTGCTGCTGCAGCTGCAGTTGCTCGGCTTCCGCCGCTAGGTCGGTGGTCACCTGCGAGGTCGCCTGCTGAGGCCAGGCGACGCGGATGTCGGCGTCGCTCAGCAAGGCCAGCTCGCACAGTCCGGTGTCGTCGCACGTCACGAACGAGTGGCGCACGTGCGACAGCACAAATCGCGCGTCGTCGTACAGCGCCATACCAACCGTTATGCACGAATAATACCACAGCCGGAGGGACGTCGACAGTCCAACCCACTCACCGAGAGCAAGGAAAACTATACAGAGGTAGCACGCCGTCGACTGCGCTCACACGGCTCGTACAGGAGCACGTCCTTTTTGTGTGCGCAGTCAACTGCCCCCCCAGCCGGGGCTATCCGTCGCGACGGGTCTCCTGCCTTTCCTGGTCCGCCGATGCCGCCGCTCCTCCTCCCAGAAGCCTGCCAGCGCCGCTACACTGGATGTGGGAGTCGGGACACAGCGCGCCTTGGCGGCGCGCCGTGGGCCTAGGAGTCTCCGCGGGACACCTGCGTGCAGGGGGGGGGGGGGGGGGTTGGAAGCCAGTGGTCATAACGAAAGCGGTACATCACGCGCAAGCAGTCATACAGCTTCTCACGCAAAGCCGAGGGCAGCACAATGCACTATCTGCAACTTCACTGCACAGAGACGGGCACTGATACACGAGCGGCGCCTGATACATTAGTGCTGCAGGTGGGCACTATAGCTCTTCTCACATCTTGTTTAGACTTTGCATCGGGCGAGGAGGTCCGGTCTGGCAACCAACGCATTTCTCCTCTCTGGCATGCGGGCGACGGCTTGGAGTGTGTGTGTCGATACTGGTATGTGTGGCATTATCGAGCAATCAGCCGTGTACTAAGCCAACCTGCGGATTTTATTTTTCTTCATTGCTATGACGGCCAAGAAGTGGTCATCAGGGAACTACTGCACAGTTTTTTGGGTGCAGTAACAACTACAGAAAAAGGAAACTGCTGTCGGAAGAAATGTGTCTTGTGCATCACCAAAAGAGGAGTTTTTGTGGCTGTGGACTCTTCAAGTTGCATCGTTTTCCTGTTAACGGGGAGCAGCTGCTGCTATGGCTTACAAACTTTAACAGGAAAAACTTTGTACCCTTCGGGGGTACTCAGGTAAGCTCAGAGCTCTTCTCAGGAGAACGAACAACAACGACTTCGACACCAATGTTCAACCTCGACTATGAATGGAAGGTACGCAGCCTGCAGCTGTTCCAACGATGACAATATTTCCTCGATAAACAGCCCTACGTAACATTTCTCTCTATCGCAGGTCAAAGTATCGCTGCACCTAGAGTCACCCCGATATCGCGATTAAAATAAAAGGAAAATAAAAGGGGCCGCGCAGGCACGTCAGCGTCGTTTCATGTAAGAGCTGTGTTCAAGTGCACACCTGTAAAAAAACAAACGAGCCAGCAATATAACGTCACTCCTTGTTGAGAAACAATTTAGACAACAGTTAGTGCGCAGGTAACAAAAACCGTCAGTGCCAAGAAATAAAGACGAACCACTACACTCCAACGCACGGATTCATGCAAGAGCGGTTGCCGATGCGACGGCGAGGCGTAAAGAAATCTCGTTAGAAAAGCGAATGACTACAGGTCAAGAAAGATATTCACTATGCTCTCGAAGTGTTGCTGCTCATTTTTTGGGGAAAAAAAAAGACTTGGAATACCACGGATTCTTCGAGCGGAAAGTCGGTGCTGTGAATATACTGCATCAACAGAGGCGGACTCGTTCGCGGCACTGTATAATAAAAACATTGACCCTCAACGACTTGAATCTTGTCAGAATGTGCCATAGAGTCATTTTCTAAAGAACCTGCATCACTTCAGTCGAAATTCACCGTGTAAAAGCTGCGAAGGAACGAAAAACCACAGCTGCGGTGCTAGTTACGTCGGAACGACCGGAAGGTGTCTGAACGATCGACTGAGAGAACACGCTAACAAGGTTAGAAACGGGAAAGATGGTTTTCTTGCTCAGCACTGCACTGAGTGCAACTGTGTGCCCCTTTTCAAGCACACAGCGACGCTGTAAAAGCACAAGGATGAGCGCACCCGAGTCATCGTCGAGGCCGCGCAGATTGCACGCGAACAGGTGTCGTGCATTAGCAAGCCCTCCGTGTCTCTGTCCGAGAAGGAACTAAGGTTCCTCGAAGGTTTTGGTGCGCGCAAGTAGTTATATTACCTTTACTTTTCTGTTTCGTTTCCTTACAGACTTTTCTTTGCCTTTTTCTGTACTTTCGTTTTTTCCATTACTCATGTTTTGCTCTTTGTGCCATATGGTTTTTGTCCCATGGTTTACTGTCTCCTTTATATATTTTCGCGCTCTGCGCAATGAACTCAGTTGGAAGTTAGCGATCGTGTCCTTCGTGTCTCTGTGTCGTCGTCCTGTTCTCGCGCAATAACTATCGTCATCTATAGTCTCGCAAGGGCCGGAAGAGGTAAAACCAGAAGGGGGCAGGAGGCTAGTACGAACACATTGTTAGAAAGAAAGGAAAACCTTTCTCATGTTTCAAGATTTCGGGCCAGGATACCACTCAACAACGTGCCGATGCCGCGATCTCCAAAATGAGTAAATTCTAAACGCCGATTTTGCAACACTGTTTTTGTTTCACGGTATACACTTCAACACATGGTGATCACAATACGTCCCTCAGGAAAACAATGCTTTATACCAATTGTGCCTGTGTAGCTCACGCATATGCTTATTGTGAGAATAAAAACAAAGCATGAGAAGGGCACAGCCATGTGCTGCCCGCGTGTTTGAGACCCCTAATTCAAAGCAATGCAAAATTTTTAAAAATTTGTGAGTACTCTTTTAGTCTCTTCACAACCGAACAAACATGTATAAAAATGCAGTTAGGAAAACCTTCTTTCATGTGGTTTTACAAGCGCAACAGTGAAAAAAAGAAACTTTCCGACAAAAATTCTATTTTGCAAAGTTTAAAAACGGGTGTGAACGAATGAGGACATTTGCAAATATGGTAAAAACACGTCAATTGAATGCGAATACTGGCTTTTGGTGCATCATTTTTTTTTTGTTTAATAATTCCTAGAAACCCATAACATAACTTCTCTTGTCAATACTTTATAAGCAAACAAAACATAAACCGTCATACCCAAGCAGCCACACAATGCACGATCTGCCCATCATCGTTTTGTTTTGTTTCTGCACCAGCCGCTAAAGCTGACTCCTGCTGCCCACTCTCAGTATGTGTAAAAGACACTGGGCGACGAAAGCGCGATTTTTTCAATGCTACTGAGCAGTTAGCTGTTGTCTAATTTGATTGAGAAGTAATGTCCCCGAACTTGAACGGAGTAGATGGGATATCCCACAAAAGGAGCAATTGAAGAAAAATGTTTCCGTGAAGTAGCACTTAAAAATTTGAAGAAAAATGTTTCCGTGAAGTAGCACTTAAAAAAAAAAAATAAAGAAATCTGACACAGTATCTCTCGGCCACATTCCCCATGAAACCTTCGCTTTCGCGAATGCAAGGGTATAGATGTTTGAACTGACATCACTACACTTCACGGGGCCACAGTTTAGATTACACGGGTCTGGTATTGACGAGTATGGGTGAGACTGTCCACAACCGCATATTTCCCAATAAAATCCACAAGAACTGTGCGGTTTTTAACAGCATACGGGACAGAGCCCGTCAGACACCCCGATGAAAGTTAACCAGACAAGAAGAAAAAAATAGATAGAGAAAGGACGCTTGAGCTTCGCCTTCAAGCGCAGACCGCGATAGCGTATCCAAGCCTTGTGCGCATCACCTTCTGAAATGCTATAGCCTGCTTCGGTTCTCGGTGCATGCCTCAACCGTGCCGTAAGGGAACGAGCGACTGTGCGCGTAACAAGCATCCCCGAGTGCCTACTGCAAGCACAGTTGTTAAAGTTGCCCTACGCCATAATCCCTCCTTTTGCGAATCAGCGAAGGGTCCACTATACACGTCCGTAAGGCTACACGCGAACCCACGCAGCTGCTCGCTTTGTTGATTCTTTTAAAGCTGATGATTAAACGTCTGAGCGCATTGTAATGGATGAGCCTTTGAAACACCCGCGCGTTGTTCAATCAACATGTTTTGACGCCTGGCACGATTCTACGCTGCCACACAATATATGTGGTGTGTCAAGGAGACTCCTTCCACCACAGGACATTCGTATGACGTTTCTTTTTTTTTCTTGAATTAGTTTCAATATGATATTGTGACTGCGCGGTGGAACATATGCTTGTCACACAGATTTGCTGGGTTCAATCCTGACTCGGACCCGGAAATTTTTATTATTTAGGTTATTTGAATTTTTCTCAATTTTTCGGTCACGAACAAGATGATTTTTCGCTAACAGCCAAGGACGCCGACGCCAGGCTTTCTGTGAAACTAGCTCTTCAACACCACAGCGTTAAAAAGCAGCATGTTACAATAACATTTGAGGGTGAAAAGCTGCAGGACACCTGGTATTGCATTAAGTTATACAATCGGGGATCAGACTTATTTCAAGACATAACTAGCCACAGTGTGAGAAACGCGCATTAACAATTCCCAGCCCCCTTCTGGAGTTCTCTTCACTTCACGTGGTGTTGCATTACCCCAGGAATTCGCCCGTCTTTTGACCAAGCGACGATGCCACGCGATTGCGTCATCGTGTGACGTCACAAATTACTGAGGTATGCAACGTCGTTTTGACGACATCAGTGAAGTGTGTCACACAGGTTATTGATACCACTTCAATCGCCTGATCGAAGCATTTCACCCAACGAACACCTAAGGCCGCCGCTTTTAAAATATATATGCCACTTCCGAACGAACTTATACACGCGCTGGGACATCCGCGAAGACGCATAGTGACACGGCTCGCTGAAAGCAGCGACGCAGGCATGTTACACCTCCTCCACGCGATGGCGCCCATCAGCGATTCTCCGCTATCTCTGGTTACATCGATTTACTATAGCCATTCCCGTAGTCAGAACGAGATGCTTAAGGAGCCACACAAAGTTTCCACCACCATCGTACAGAACACGAAGCTGAACATCCGAGCTCTTCTTCCACAACCTCCCTCCAAAGCGCACAATGCCGGCGTCCCAAAACACTGTGCACTAGCGTTGTTTTCCCACTCAGCATCGTGGCGGACTGATTCGTGGACGACTTGGGCGATCGAGGCAAAGATGAGAAGTGAACACCGCCGAGAGCTATTTGAGAGCGATCATCATTCAGTCACGGAGAAGATCTGGGCAAGCGAACGAAACGCCATAAGCGCCGCCGGCGCTGGTCCATTTACGCGAAGCCATCTCGGGGAGAGAGAGAGAGAGCGCGGAGGACACGACACCCGCGGGGATTCCTCTCGAACGAGCGCGCGAATAAACCGTCGATCGGATGGCCGGGAAGAGCCTCGTCATTCACTCGATGCGCCGAACAGCGCAGGGGTCACTCACAGGCCATACCTTATTACTCTTCACTTCATACTAAGATTTGAAACGAAGCGCGGAAAATCTC